AGTCTGACTTCCCTATTCAGTAATTAATATTATCATCATGATTACGAAGTAAGATTAATTCCTCAGGGTATATATCACTCAATAAAACAGTAAAATCTAGGAAATTAAAAATAATTAAGTCATCAATATATCTAAAAACAAATTTAATACTAAGAGTAAAATTTTTTTCATAATAATGCAATTTTTTTTTAATTTTATTTATTGTTATTTTTAATAAACTGTTGTTTGTTATTTTTTATTTATTATTCCCCCCCCCCTTTTTCATATGTCTATTATTTTTCTTTGTTTTATTCTTCGTTATGAACTTATATATATATATATATATATATAGACTCTTGTGTTCGCTGAACTTGCAGAACTAACAGGGTAACATGCAAAAATGTAAATACTGTCGTTACAACTGTGACGTATGTTATTTTTCAAATTGCAGAAAATAGCATTCCCAAGACGGAATTCTGAGTGTTCTACGGGGAACTTTGGAACATCTTGAGTCGAATTTCTTTTATGACAAATCTTTTTGCTTTTAAACGGGAGCACATCAACATCTTATCATCTTCATACCATTTCACTTCGTTTTATACTGTACTACTTGTACTCATACATTTTGTCCGATTTTATTCATACTATTTATCTGATTTTATTCACTTACAAGTACTATTTTATCAGTTATAACTGTGCTGCAAATAATTTTCTGTATGCACTTATGCTTTTGTAAGTGTATTAGTTTGTTCTAGACTCTGTGCTACATTCAATTCAATTCAATTATTGAGGAAGGTAATTTTAGCTTGGCGTCAGCCAAAATACGAAAATTATTTTTAGTATTAGGGCATCGGCCAGTTAGTAATTGTTTTATTAACTAATTAATGTAGTTAAAGTTAACTATCAGTGGGAGTGGAATATAGCGAAACGTAATGGAACTTTTAATGTGAGGAAAAATGGGTAATTTAAAAATGTTAGCGAAACACTTGAATTTAAAGGTATCTGAAGGAATGCCAAGCATGAAAATATTAAATGTAATTGCAAGCTTCCAAATTTATGGAATATCTGTGAAGGCAAAGATACAAATTGTGATAAACACAAGAAATGTAGCTGAGAAGAGGAAAAATAAAAATAAAAAAGAGAGAGAGATGTTCAACGACGGATATAACATAATATAATTTTTTCTCGTCTACTTCTTTTACTTAACTTAGATTTATTATTTGTTTATGGATTTCATTGTAACCGAGATAGATTCTTGTTTTGTGTACAACTTTGATGCATAATTAGTTTGTTTAAGTTTGACATGGCTTCCTGCCGGTCTTTGCGTTAAGTCTCTATCCATATATATGTTATTGGCAAAGTATGAAATCAGACATTGTATAGAATGACTAGGCATTGTATAGAATGCCTAAAATTAGCCGGCAAAGTATGAAATGATTTATATTTCACACATTTCCTATGCATTCTATACATTGTCAAATAAAAAACCGGCAAAGTATAAAATACATCTCCCATTCGTTACAAATATCACTTGGCAAGGCTCATTAATTTTAACGCGTGACTTTCAACGCGTGCCTCGTGACTTTTGACTCATAACAAAAAATATTTTTTTACTGTGCTACATGTAAATGGAGGAATTTAATGAAATTTACATGGAAAAATTTAATGAAATGTAATTCAAAATGTCATTCAAGCCTGCCATGCTGCAACAAGTAGGTTAATTTCATATTTTTTATATGAAAATTTTGTTTCCCTTAATAAGAAAGGCTTAAATTTTGTTTTGCACAACTTTTTAATTTTCTTTCCGCATTTTGAATAAATGTTTTTCATTGGCACTCTCAGTATTTTTTCAGAATAACATTTTTATTTTCGAGAAATGCATGTTACTGTGAATGACCGAAATCGGTAATTCTACATTTATTCGATATTTTAATACTTACTGACGATAGATTAGGAGAAACATCAGTGTAGGGTATACCGGGCAAATGTATACCGGGCAATGGCACTTGACCTTCAAAAAAAACATCAGTGTAGGGTATACCGGGCAAATGTATAACGGGCAATGGCACTTAACTAGAACTAGTATGATTGGACCTTTGGTGAATGTTCGAAATATATACTAGGTCTAGTTAAGTGCCATTGCCCGGTATAAATTTACCCGGTAAACACTACACTGATGTTTTTTATGGTTCAGTGCAACTGCCAGCATAGCATTCGGGCATTTTGCCTGGGCATTGTATAGAATGCCTAGGCATTCTATACAATGCCCAGGCAAAGTATGTAATACTTCTCACATTTCATACTTTGCCTAAAAACGTCAGGCATTCTATACAATGCCAGCGTTTCATACTTTGCCGGTAACATATATAATGAAAGAATCGAAATCTTTGAGAAAGAATCTTTGCGAAAGAATTTAGAGTGTGTCACTTAAAAGAATTGATACTTTGTCGGGCTTGGCTTACTCGAAATGGAATGGAAAGAACAGTTGCTAACGTAAACAAATGCCACGTTTCAACAACCCATCAGGATCGAGATACTCACACTACGTTACTTGTAGGTATCCCATTCATAAGAATACTTCTTCAAAAACCAGAATTCTGCTTATTTCATTCAATTAGATTTATGTATACGTCAAAAACTACTAAACTAAAAGCCGCCGAAGACTTGCGAATTCAAGTGTCTGACATAAAACATAATTTTAAGACATTTATCGATAATAGAATGAAAAAATTCTGTTTTTCACATTAAACGTTCCTAAATTAATCTAAATTCATTGTCTTCGGTTCGCATACACACTTACTAATGAACTTTTCTTGTAAGTCCGCGTTCCTTCAAAAGAAAATTGTTCTCTAAGGGTACCGTAGCTTTTTTTTTAAATTTTATAATCGTCGCTTAACAGCCGACCCGATTTCGGGTTTAAGACTACTCAGTTTAAACTCCACAGTCTAGTCATTTTGAACCCAATCCAGAAGACAAGGGAACTCTTGGATCAAGTAAAGGGAGAAATTTGCCTTAGTGGGGACTTTTTAAGGAAACTAACACGCATTTGCGTTACGTGGAGAATAAAAACACGAAAACCTCCCACGGTTAGTCCGAGGACAAGGGGACTCTAACCCATGATCCGTCTACCACCGAAGATATTTTACGTCAGCATTATGGTCAGTGCAAGCCGGTTGTGGAATTCAAATCGACCCGTCATCCTTGGGATTCGAACCCGGTGTACCTTATTGTAAGGCTCTATACCCTGAGCCACCATGGCTCTCTGCTTAAAGAAATTGGGAACCTCGGATCTATTTGACGAGTGTTTAGTTATCTAGGGTTAAATGAACTTGGCCGACTAAGATAAGACTGTCTGTCATAAGGCTAACCTAAATTTATAAACCTATAAATAAAAATTACTTCGTGACTTCAATGACATAATAGTAATCATAAATATAGAAACTTATAAATATAAGGATAAAGTTTATAATCTCTCCCTCGTACGAGACGAAATTAAATAATGGATAAAACAGTTCTAACTTGAATAAATATGTGTCTATCTTATCATAAAGCTGCTTATCATCTTTCTTAAAATTTGCAAACAAACATAAACATGTTTAAGAGAAGCTTATTTATCTGCCTTTTTGAGTAAAAGCGCTTGGAAACATCGGCCTCACTTTCTTTTCCTCTCCTCGAGAATGTCTATTTGTAGCGGTAAGACTTACTTTAATAATTTAAAACTCATTTTATGAGAATCGTTGGTGCATTAAATTGAGAAAAAGAATGGAGTCAGTTTAGCACGTCGAAACTGTTTTCATAAAATTGTGTGAATGATGTTAATAATAATAATAAAAAAACTGCATCATGTGATAATTGTGAGAAAAAAATAACAGGAAAGTAAAAACTGGTACATGGAATTTTTGAATTCACTCTAAAAATAATATTCTTTCGCTATAAAAAAATTCAGATTTTATTACAATGCTTTTTTTTCATTGTTTAAGTATGCCGAAACAATAAAAAAAATTATTATAAATTTTAAATTAAGACATTTTTTTCTAAATTTAGAAATAATTGTACTACTAATATAAGGTTTATTATCGATTCCTAAAAATGAAATAATTTGAAACAAAAATATTATAAGAAAATTTCACTTTAACTCTCTTCTGGCCCAACAGGATGTTGCGAGAAGGATGTTACTTTTCATCCAATTCGAGTTGCTCCAATTCGAGTTTCATCCAATTCGAGTTATGAATTGTATTATAAATGAATGCATCCGTAACATCGGTTAGAAAAATGAAGAATAAGTAATAATGAAATAGCCACATACGCTAATGTTGACAGCATGATTCATTTTACTTATATATTTTCAAATTTTTTTTTAAAACATGTAGATCAGCTATTAATGTGAAAATAATAGTGATTAATGCATGAAACTATATTTCAAATATTATATTTATCACTATCACTGTAAACTATACTTATCACTGTAATGATAAATGTACTTTTAAAAAAAAACTTTAGTTACTATTGTGTTGCCATAAGTACATTTCTAATGATAAACTTAAATTTATAATTATTAAAAGTTAGGATTAAAAGTGAACATTCATTTATATAATAATTAAAAAGTCCCATTTTTCATTTGAAGTATGATTACCTGAACCTAGTTTATGAAGGATTATGGTGTTTTTTGTGATATAATTTTTTTTTAAAAATTCATATCACAGAATACAGGATCCGCCTAGTTTCTCGTAACACGTTCATATTCATTACAGTCAATGTATAAAGTGTCAGCATTCTATAGAATTTAAGGTAACGTGTGAATTAAGATAATTTTTACAAGCTTGTTCTAATTATTACATACTCCGCTTAGTCCACTGTATAGAATTCTTGTATGTTTTTTATTCAGCCATTTTATAGAGTGCCCATAGCGAATGTATAACGATTTCATATGTTGCTAGTGGATAGTTGGCACGGACGTAGCTATAGCTTTTACAAGGGGGGAGCAAGTCCAGTCAGTTTCTCATATCACATCTTATTTCTGAGATAGGTTTTTAATCTCTTTAGAGTGGAGAAACTTCTTTTTGGTGTAGTGGTGGAAACCGGAAGTGTTGCCAAAATACCCAGCAACGTTCTTGTCAGAGGGAAAAACTGTTTATCGCACTGATCGAGTTGTTGTTGTAGTTGTTGTTGTTGTCCGAAGTCGAGCACTTTACGGTAAAACAGTTTAACGANAGTGTTAGCATTCTATAGAATTTAAGGTAACGTGTAAAATAAGATAATTTTTACAAGCTTGTTTTAATTATTACATACTCCGCTTAGTCATTGTATAGAATTCTTGTATGTTTTTTATTCAGTCATTTTATAGAGTGCCTATAGCGAATGTATAGTCATTTCATATGTTGCTAGCAGATAGTTGGCATTCTAGACACTCTTTAGAATGCAGTATTCAAAACATGAACGATAACACATCTAAAATATTAAATCGAGTTTCGTTAGTATTACTCAACAACACCATCCTCGCGAGAAAAATTGTACTATCAAGATTCTGCAAAAACAAATGACTGTGTTAAAACCACACATTTTTAAAATTAGATTAGCTACAAAAGTGTGAAATATGAAACATTTCAAACAGGATGGAGGGCATATCTAGAACATTCTGGAGCTTACGTTAATGTCATGGCTTACATAATGGAGTTAATTAACCCCTTAACGCACAGATTTAAAACAAAAACGGCCAAAATTTGGTGGACAATTTTGATATACTGCGCTTTTGTTCCATGGAAAAAGGCTATATTATATTTTATTCTTGAATAAATAAGTGCTATAGCTTACAATCCTATATAAATGACAAATGTCAATAAAACGATTTTTTTATCTTAGCTTTCACATTATTGTTATTTTCAATTCCCGATTATATTCGAAGGTGAAAAATTATAACAGCATAAAATACAACGCTGCTCGAATTATCTCGAGTGTGAACAGTTTGGCCCGTTTAGCGTGCTCGAATTAACTCGAGAGCAAATCAACGCGATGAAAGCTTGGAATCACGAGTTTCACGCCGACTGCGCATTTCGAAAACATCATGCGCTAGGATCCGCTTGGCGAGTCTGCGAAGTTTGGCGATAGATCATGTTTCCAAATACGCATCTCAGTCAAAGTGCAAAAGTGTTGAGAGAGGCGTGGCTCACGTTAAATATGTCATGGCTGAAAATTCCTTAACTATAAACTGGTTTTGGTGTACGTGCACAAATACGCTTTGAAAAGCCTCGTCTATAAATTTCATTACTGATTCTATGTCCAGAAATCATAAGGACTTAAGCAATTTTAACTAAGCTTCTGGTACGTTCCTGCACGGTGCATAAAAAGAAACACAGGTTGAATACATTTTGATCGAATGATCAGATTTTCACCTATGAAAACACACTTTTAATGGTTCAAGGGACTAACCTTTAAATATGGTAATTAAATAGTGCGGATGATATTTAAAGTTACGAAATCAAGCACAAAAAGTACCTCTTCTGATCTGTATCTGTTACTGTAAAAGTATCCGTTACTGAATGACTGAATGTTACTGTCTGTGAATGACAGAAATGGGTGGTTGTTGACTTCCACAGGTAAATGTTGACAATCACATAGTCGCTTTGGTATATGTCGGAAATATATACTAGGTCTAGTTTAGTGCCACTGCCCGGTATGCCCTACATCAAAGTTTTTTTAAGGTTCAGTGCACAGTATGCATTTATCTGGTACTCCAAACACTGATATATCTCCTAATCTATCCTCAGCCGATATTAAAATATCGAATGGATATTATAATATCAGCGAATAAGTTAATATCAAATCGGATCGAACAAATATTTCGGACATTCACCAAAGCGCCTATGTGATTTGCTGGCAGAGTTTAGTGCGTTGTGGAAAATGCCCAGCAAGCATAATGAAAAATTCATCTTCTAATTAATCATAAATTTTATTAAGCAAGAGAAATCATAACTTAAACATCATGAAGGAAAAACAATCCTCTCCATAACATGAATTCAATACATACAGTCTTGAAAATGAAAAGAAACAAAAACTCCAAATCCAATCTTGATTTGTTATATATATACAAAATAACACTTGCATAATGAGGGTACTTACACATTCAAAATTAATACTATGCAAATTCTGTCTTCGAATTATTTTTAAATGTTCGAACTCCCTCCTTCAGAGGTTTTTCGAACTCGTGATCTCTGACTCTTACTCGAACCTTGTTCATTGAAATTCATTGTCTGACATGATTATTGACATTCACCGGTTGAAAGTTGACATTCTCTTGATTTCGATTACATTTCACGACAACATTCTTTTTGATGGATTAGGATTTGTGATTCCAAAATACAGTGAATCTGCAGTTTGAAAAATATGTTTCCTATAGTTTAGGGAAGAGAGCAGCTTTAATGCAAATTTACTTTTTGCCTTTATGCGTATTTTGCCATAAACCCAGAACTAATGAGGCAAATTAAAAAATGTTGGCACACAATAATAAAAAAAATTTTTATTAAAAGATTGGAAAAATTATTTTTTATAGTTATTTTTTATTATTTTATTTACTAGTGGTCTAACTTTGTATGTTACACCAATTTTTACACTAAATAAATCAAGGCAATTTTCAAACATTAATCCGAATTTCGAAGAATGAATTGAATAGTTCTTAAAGAATAAAAATTCAAAAGTACTTAATGGTCCTAAATTTCTTTAAATTAAAACTATATTAATTAGAACCATTCGAATTATTGTATTCGAATTTCGTTATTCAGACATATTGAATTACATACATTAAAATGATGCAAAAATTTTTATATCTTATCATTCGAAAAATGTTCAACCATTATTAACTAAAATAGTAAAAAATCAACGAAAATTATTTTTACACACTATTATATTTGAACAAATTTTCATAATTGAATCGGACCATGTTAAAAAAAGGGCATCTAAAAAATCTGCATTTTCGAGAAAAACCAACAAAAAAACTGTCTCGATTGTGGAAAAATTGTTTAATTGCTTCCAAATTGTTGGATTCTCATCATTAGGTAGTATAGAAAATGACTCTATATTTGATAATCTGTGATTAATATTTCAAAACCAACAAAAAACTTATTTTCGTAAAAATGTGACAAACCCCCTTTTGACATTGACCGCTTCAATTGTTAGCAAAAATGTTTCGACTTGATTACGACTAAGCCAAAAGTTAAATTAACATAAAACTTCGACCTTTGAGCATTCACAATGCGCGCGATTTGCATATACGATAGCACGTCGATGCGATTCGCGAGCTCCTGTAGCATTTGTCGCTTTACTTGTAGTTTCTAAACATTCGCGACCCTAGGACAAGTAGTGTGAATGCTCCTTAAAGTTTTGAGAACATGCATATCCAGAGAAAGTATGTTTTTGGTTGTGACTTTATAATTTTAAATATCATCTGCACCACTTAATTTGCATAATTCAGGCTGACCCTTCAAAGCATTAAGATTGAGTCCTAAATAAAAATCTGATCATTTAGATCCAAAATAGGTTCAACGTGTTCGATCTTTTATTTTGAGAACTGTGTCGCGTAAGCTCTTAGAAATCCGAGATTTTTATTAGTAATTGCGCTACGCAGAACATACGTATGTGAACATGTGAAGTGGCGTTTTAATATGGATGGTGTTTTTTACACTAAGGAGCGCTGCAAGCTCTTTACTGCCTATACTTCCGGGTTAATGTTTTTTGGTGTGTTTTGAAGCCATTTGGCTCAAAACGTGATCCTTGTGTTTTGAGACTCTCTGAAGTAAGATTTCTTGTATACGTTTATGTCTTACCTAATTTTTAATTTGTGTTTAAAGGAAGAATCGTCATTTGAAAAAAGAATCGTTATAAAATACTTCTTACATTGTTAACAATTTACCAACTTCAAAATTTAAACCTAAATGGTAATTTGTAAAACGAAAATGTCACTACTCAAACAGTAGGCTAACACTAACGTCTGACGGTGCACGGATTGCAACAAGAACTAACAGTAATATGCAAGAGGCCGAATCAGAACTGCTAAAAAAAGCGAGTTCACTCTAAATCTAGCAATCATGTGACTTTTTTTAACAATACATCTCTAAAAAACTAAGGCAAATTTTCCCTTCAAGNGCCAGTTGGAGGCTGCTTAAGCAGGAATTAAATAGTTTGGGTTTGGGCGACTCGGTGCTGGCGGTGGTTTTTGATTTTTTAAACAATAGATATGTTTGTTTTAATCGAATTGATGTTCTTATAGAATCACCAACCAATGTAGGGGTACCCCAGGGCTCGTCCCTGGGACCGATTTTATGGCTCATACTCATTAATTCATTGATCGTCAATTTTAACTATTATGATTGCAGTTTGCTTGCCTTCGCCGATGACGTCTTTTTACTGATGAAGCATCCAATACTCTATAGAATCGACAAAATAGGCACAGATATTATACAGTCTCTTACGGACTGGGCTAGGGAACACAGCCTTGTTTTCGCTCAGAAATTATATAATTTATTTCCTTTGTTAAAAACAAAATTATTGGTTTAAAAATATCGCCTCACAGAATAAGCTGTAATAAGCAGCTGTGTACTTTGTAACCGGAAGTAGAGAGGGCCGAGAGATCGAGATTGTTGTTGTTTACATTTATATTGAAAACACCATCCATACTAACATTACATTACACCATCCATTATTACATCCCTATTAACACTACCATCCATACTAAACTGTTATATTGGTTATTTGTTACAGACTAGAGCTATGGCTAAATTGACGATTTCTGGAGCAGAAGATAGCGAGGAAGACGCAGCAGGAACCACTGAATTATCTTTTTCACAAAACTCAGATTGCAAGAAAAAGTTCCGAGCATTCAGACCACGGGATGTCCTTCTGAGTTCCTATCCCAAATGCGACAGTAAAATAGTGGATATCATAGTTTGGAAACTCCTGTATCCTCTTTCTAATTTGCCACCTCGTAACAACATGACCAATCGATATCTTATTCCCATAGAAATGCAAGATGGAGTTTTTCCCAAAAATTCTCCTAGAATACTTAAAACTTACCTACCGTTTCATCAGCTGCCGTTTCACAAAAGATCCAAATACATCTATGTTCTGCGATCGCCTTGGAAGGCCTGTATTTCTTATTACAAGTTTTTAAAACTGACTCAAGCGATTTCTGAATCTTTTGAAGAATTCTTTCAATTGTTTTTGGAAGGAGAGTTAGGCTATGGCTGCTATTTTAAACACATTTCCCCGTGGATCAAACGATTGGAAGAAAGCAACGTGCTGGTACTTCGCCACGAGCATGTTAAAAGTAATCCACGCAGTGCTGTTTTCATGATTGCTGCATTCTTGGGAGAGTGCCATTTAAACCGAATACTACAATCGGAAGATATTTTGGATGGCATTTGCGCAGAAAAGCTCCGATTACCACCAACCCGCAGACATGTTTCCGTAGAAGAAATGCCGCCATGTAAGCTGCAGTGTTCCGAAAAACAAATCCAGGATTTAGTCAAAAAAATATCAGAAGAAACTGAAGGAACCTGTGTACAATATTTATGGTTGAGCATTTTGAAAAATAGAGTTATTAACAGGCGTACGATTTAAAACTCTTGTTGTAACGACTCCAAATCCAGATATTAAATATATATCTATACATTATCTTATATTTTAATCATATTTAAGGTGCAAGTTGAAATAAGTATCATTGTTCTGTTATGTTTTTTTATAGATAATCTCGCATATCTTATTAAACGTAGTAAAAATTATTTTAATTTAATAAAAACAATTCAATTATTTATAACTAAAACAAATTTTTTTGATCGATTACAAAAATTTATAGTGTATTTCAATATTTCAAAATAGTTTTTTTTTTTTATCTTAACACCAATGTTCAGTTCGAATGAAATAAAACCATTTTCTGCAAATAAGTTTTTCCATTTTATGTGTCTTTTTAAACATAGGTTTTTTCGTCACATGTTGTCGCTTCCAATATGGTCTGACGGAAGAATCCATTGACATTCAAAAAATCAAGGGAAAAAAGAGGAAATGAATTCAGAACAGTCAAAAATGTGTTAATAGGAACCCTGGTGTTGATGGCACGTGGGGCAAAGTGGGTATGTTCTTATACCCTTAGAAAAACGTAAACTCTTTAAGTGGTCTCTGGCGAGGTGCGAAATTTGTTACTAACTTAAAACAGTTTGTTCTTCATCCTAAAATTTGGACTGCCGCTGAAAAGAACAAATTTAGCCCCTGATCCTAAAATTCGTTCCAAATTTTCAATAAGTTCGTTCGGTAGAGCTGTATAAAAAACTAGCTTCAAAACTAGACACGCGTTTTTCTACGGGAGTGATTCCGCAGTGGACTGATCGTTAAGACACGGTTCCCAGCAGATCAACGAAGTCAAGCATCACTGGCTGCGGTCAGAGTGCAGGTGGGTGACCCCATTGATCAGCCTGCGAAAGTACAGCGTGTGGGTGGTATTGGTCTTCGTTAAACTGTACTACAGTAAAGTGTTCAACTTCGCGTCGTCGAGCTACCGAAGCGGGGGTGCCATCTCCTCTGCAGAGGATCAAAATTGCCATGCCGTTTGCTCGGATCATCCTTAGGGATGTTTCGCAGACCATCGACAATAGCCCATAGTGCAGCTCTAGCTCGACGTAAATAAAAAAACTATAACTCCTACGGGAGTGTGTTGTGAAAACAGTTTGCTATATATAGCTTGTTCACCAGGAGTTGGCACCTTCATCACGTGGTATGCGACGATACTATTTCGCTGTCTTTGGGAGAAGTTTGTGAACAAGATTGCTATTTGGCGATCGTATGGCGAAAATATTTATTTCGCAAACTTCATCTGCATTTTTTTAGCATTAAATATTTCATAAATTTAATGATATTTGGCTCCATTTTTTTATGATATTTCTCTCTTTTAAGTGAATAGTTTGTATTTTAGACATTTTGGTGGGAAAATAGCAGTTTTTGAATTTAAAATATATAATTAGCTAAATAAACGAAAGGTGTAATAGCAGATGATAAAGCGAATTAAGTGATTGAAAAATAATTCACTGTTCGCGTTTGGCACGCATTAAGGGTAGTCTCAATTTCAAGCGCGGAGAATGAATTCTGCGTCTGAGGAGGTAGAGCCAAGAGCCAACTCCTAGAGAACGAACTATCCTCCAGCTCCAGTCTTATTTTGGAGCTATCGGTGTAAATTCTGATCCATTCAGGTTCTGGGTATTTCTCATCCAACAGGCATATGTTGTTAACTATCACGAGTTGGTTTATTCAAGCAATATGGCCACATGATTCTGAATATAGTTAATCTTTGTTTAGATGGGATCAACTACTAAACACATGTTTTGCCTATTCTAATAACGTATAGTTACCGGGAAGGATAAATATGTAATAAAATTTTAAAATAATATAATTATTTTAGCTTTATTATCGCGTTTGTATATATCCTTCAGTATGATGCAGGATTTCGTAGTGTTGTTCATTACTGATACATTGCTTGCGCACTTTTTCTTTTATCCAGTTTGAAGAACGGGGAATTCAGCTAGCAATAAATAAAATACCAGAGTTCTCATTAAATGTTCAGTGCTAAAAAAAGAAAGAACAACCTGAAAAGCTTTTAATTGGATTTTCACATTCCAGGTCCCGCAGTGGACTGATCGTTAAGACACGGTTCCCAGCAGATCACCGAAGTCAAGCATCACTGGCTATGGTCAGTGTGCGGGTGGGTGACCACTTGGATCAGTCTGCGTAGGGACCGAGGGTGTGCGGTATTGCTCCTCGTTAAACTGTGCTACCGTAAAGTGCTCGACTTCGCGCGCAGGTCGTCGGGCTATCGAAGCGGGGGTGCCATCCCCTCCGCAGAGGATCAAAATTGTGATGGCATGTCTTCGGATCATCCTCCGGGATGTTTCCCAGACCGTCGCCAATAGCCCATTGTGCAGCTCTAGTGCGACGTAAATTAACAACAACAATAACAACATTCCAGGATTCAAATTTAATGGTTTAGGCAAGTAAGCTCAATCATACTAATTAATAAGTTCATACTGTATTTTAAGCAACGAAATCGAACCGAAAACGTTTTTTTCCTGAATAAACGTGCCTTTTTATCTACTGATATCGTTTCCGAACCCCTTAATTTTATTTTATAACCGTCGTTGAACAGTCGACCCGATTTCGGCATAACGATTACCAATGTTCAACTCCCTAATCTTGTAATTTTGAACCCAATCCAGAAGACAAAGGAACTTTAAGATCAAATATTGGGAGAAATTTGCCTTCGTGGAGGACTTTTTGATGGAACTTACCGTCGCTAGCGTTACACGGAGAGAAAAACCATGCAAACTTTCCACTAAAATCTTGACGGCCAGGCGACTCCAACCTATGATCCGTCTACCACTGAGGATATTTTACGTCAGCACTGTGGTCGGTGTGAGCCTAGTGTGGAATTCGTATCAACCAGCCAAAGTAAGACGACCGTCCTGTGTAGTAGAGAGGGAGTTGGCCTTGGACCAGGAAGATACCGGGTTCAAATCTCGCTTCAGGCGTAGGTGTATTTTATCTCTCTATTTCATTTGTCTTTCTTGTGTTATTAAGGTGACATCGACCCAGATATATGGTGCCCACGATAACATGAGTATTATTAGAAAAGTTAGGTAGATAAGGCAGTACGAGTTTTTTTTCCCTCTTTTTTTCTGAAAAGAAATAGAACGATGAAATATTTCTTTACTACTAACGAAATTCGTTTCCTCGATGAATTGTTGTAGCTATAATTCATTTACGTCACACTAGAGCTGCACAATGGGCTATTGGCGACGGTCTGGAAAACATCCCTGAGGATGATCCGAAGAAACAATTTTGATCCTCTGCTGAGGGGATGGCACCCCCTCTCCGGTAGCCCGACTACCTGCACGCGAAGTCGAGCACTTTACGGTATAGCAGTTTAACGAGGACCACTACCGCACATCCTCGGACCTTTCGCAGACTGATCAATGTGGTCACCCACCTGCACACTGACAGCAGCCAGTGATGCTTGACTTCGGTGATCTGCTGGGAACCGTGTCTTAACGATCAGTCCACTGCGGGACGTTTCCTCGATGAAGTGACAATAGTTAATTCGTCACTTTGACGACTTGTTCGCTCCGAGCATATACTAGGAAACAGTTTCGTCAAAAACGAAGAAGGTTTCGCGAAATTTGAGTATTAATTTTTTACAGAGCATGCACACACAATCTATTTGCAGTTGCATTTTAGAGATAACTGCATTTAGAGATAATTGAGATAGTAGCATCATTTAATAAGCAACATTTAAAGCTGACATTCTAAGCATCAGGTTGCATATTATGTTTAAAAAATACCTATTCATTAAAAAAAATTATTTGTAGTATAAGAAAATATTTTATTCCACTTTCTTAATTTCAAAAAGTTTTAATTCTTTTATTTGCTTTTTACAAAATAAGTTAATCATTATGAAGTATACCGAATTAGAAAACACAATAAAATGATCCAAAGCATTAAACAGTTGACAGGATATGTTGCAGCTTGATTTGTTACAAAAATATCTTGATCTGTTTCTAACTTCAAAATGCAATTCTTCTCTTCCTGTGGGCAATAATACAATTAGTTAGTAAGCTAGCCACAAACAAATGTTAAATAAAAAAAACACATGAATGCTGATTGTTTTTATACTGCTTAAACTAATCTAACTTTAACAAAGTTATACAACTTTAATAAGGCTGAAAAATTGTGTTATGAAAACTAAGACTTATAATTATTTATCTGCGAATATTTATAAATGCAAATTAATAAATTATTTGTGGATATAAAAGGAATTTAATTATCTGAGTTGCCTAGAGGTAAAATGAGAAAATTAAAACCCTTTTAAGATTTTTAATTTTTTTTTGTTTATCTATTATTTATTTATTTTACTTTTAGAGAAAATAAATTCAGTGATTATAAAAACGCAGAACAGAAGACAATTTTTTAGCTGCCCACAATAAAGCTTTTAAGAGAAGCTATGATACGAAAACAACTTTTGCAACAGAAATTAATTTTATTTCCTGTAAAAAAAAACATAGAACTGAACACAAATTTTTATCTGTTTATAATAGAATCAAGCCGACCGGACTGTGTAGGGGTTAGGGAACTGCCCTTGCATCAGAAAGGTTCTGGGTTCGAATCCCGGGCAAGGCATGGATGTTCTTTCCTTCTCTGTACTATCTGTCCTTACTGTGGGAGCAACGTTGGCCCACCTAATAGGGTGCCCCTGAAAGAGTGGCCAACAAATCTGCCCTTCAGATGCCTGTATGACGTAAGTCATTTCCAGGCGGGCATTGGAGAAAAAAAATAGAATCTGAATCCGTCTATTGAAAAGAAACGTGCAATTCAAAAAACAACGTAAGTACTTCACGGTTGATTCCAGGAAAAGTGGCCTGAACACTATTTTCCTTCGATTGCTACTGCTATGAACACTAAAATAAAGCTTCAAAAAACTAGTAAAATAAAATTTAATTTTGATTTTTTTTTTTGCAATATGTAGCTTGCCCTACAAAGATGCCAAATATTTAAAAACATCAATTTTGAACTTTTTATCTCCTGATTTTTCTATTGCACGGCAGTATGATAGAATCTAGATAATAGATTTTTATCTGTCTTTAGTAAAATATAACTTATGTGACAGAAGTTATTTTAACTTCTTGATTAAAAAAAATAACTATAAACATAGTTGTTCTAAATGCCCATAAAAACACACACACACACACACACAAATTTGTATCTGTTTATAATAGACTTTGTCTGCTGTTGTTGTATGCCTGTTTAGGCAGAGGGGGTGCTATTGTTCTTATTTTCCAGTGGCGCCATCTATGGTCAATAATTCGACTTTTGCCACACCATACGTCGCACCCGTTTATAGGGCGAACCGATTCATGCATCTATTCATTCATTCATCCACAGATCGTAATTTTGACCTGAATCAGAGAACGATTGATATCCAATTGCCCCACAGGTATTGATTTGTTATGGGAACATGGAGGACTTTTGCGACTCGACAGATTTAACATGCATCAGTCACTTTACTACACGGTGAGTCTTCGGCCGGCGGGGTTCGAACTCACGAACTCTCTTACATGGGCCCAGCCCCCTACCGACCAGACTATCCCGGCCTTGCTTTGTCTGCTAATTATAATGTATGAAAATTTTTTATCATTCATTTAATTAAGTGAAGATAACTTGTAAAAGAAAATTTCTTTTAACTTTCTGGAAAAAAATCAGAACTTCAAATAAAAAATGGAATTCGTCGACAGGACGACTCCTACCATCTTCCAAATGTAATATTTTTTTCTTCTTACAGTTGATTACTGTTAATTTTATTTGTTTTGAAAATGGTCCTGATTTAATTGATAATTAATTGCTGTCATTGATTTCATAGGTCAGTTAGTTAGATTTTTGAGTTATTGGCGCAAAAGGCAGTGGTGGTGGCTATATCGCACCTATAACTTGGTTTTTAAAAAACAGCTAAATGAGTTAAGAGCTAGTTGGACGTATAAACTCCCATGTCATTAAGGTAAGAAAATATGTTATAATGAGGGCTATCACCCATTAATGAACCTAATGATGGATTAAAGCTACCAAAATGGCGTTGTCTCTGAATTCTGAATTTGTTGCACCTGGTCAAAATATTTTTAATAGTAAGTGGTTCCTTATAATAGGAACATTCAGGTGCAGGTTCATTAAACAAGACGTGTTTATGAGTTATGCGCTTATGACCAATACGTAAGCGATTTAGAGGTAGGTACTTGACGCAATACATATTAATACAGATTATCCGTAATACATATTTGCAGAGTCCTGATAAAAATTACGTCGAAATGTTATGCTCATTAAAAATCACACATTTGTATTTCAGTGAGACAAAACTATTCTAAAACTGCCATCTCTAATCATTCGTGTGGTCAAAAACAGCAAAAGAAACTGTTCAATTCTTCAAAAATCAGCTTATTTATTTGGAGAGCAGGATGAATTTTCTTTTCGTTAGAAGCCAAACCTTTACATATATATTGGCTTTGGATTATTTTTTTACTCAGAAAAGAATAAAAAAAAGTTTTGTTTTTTTGCACTTAAATAAAAAAAAATTACTAGGTCTAATGTGTATTTTTTATCGCAATTTTTACAATAAAAAATTAATTTTAATGGCAGTCGTTACTGAAACTTTGTACATTTAGCTGACTTAGAAAAACATAACCATCTTTAGGTACAGAAGTGCAGGAAGAATTTGTAACCAACAAGTGATATCGAACATTTCATTAGAAAGAGACATTACAAATGCCAACATATCACACAAAATGCCTTGAAAATACGTGAAACCCGTTAAATTCAAACATTTAAACGCAGAAAACATTTACAAACGACATATTAACAAAAGTTAAAGGAAAAAAACAGATACAAGTAACTAAGGCTCCAGCATGTAATTTTTTTTATGTACAGATTAAAAAGAATTAAGTCGAATATTTAACTAACTGTATTGAGAGACCTTGCATGCGAAGCGTTCCGTAGTGTGTTCATTCTAAGTACATATATATTCAGAATCCTTGCCAAAAATGAAGTTAAAAAAAGTATGAAATAAGAAATATCTATCAGAATTTAAAAGATTCCTGGTGATGAAGGCGAAATAAAAACGCTAAAAACAGTTTGATTCCTTGATGAAATTTGAGGGGTGTTTCTTCTCAGTCTCGACATATTTCGATAACGTTTTGATTTTTAATTCGATTAATCGATCAATCCCCTCATATGGATACTTTATTTTCTTTTAAACAAGACTTCTATAAATGTTTATAAAGAGGTTACGTATCATTGTTAATCCCATTACAGAAAAACCTTTATATTGCTCATATTAAAGGTTTACAACTACATCCTTCTGAAGTTCATCTTCAGCCAAAATACGTCGGAATTTGCGTATTATGCTGACAAATATAGAATCGTTTTTTTTTTTTTCGCAGAATTCCATCAAATTTTTTTAACAAACGTTATTAAACCGCCTATTTTTTTCAACTGACAGAGAAAGATGTTTATAACTAATAATAAATAGCAATAAAAAAAAATGTTCAAGTCATCCTGTCCTATGCTATTGAAAAAAATTTTCAGATTATTTCGTAGCTAGGCAACTGAGCTAATTTTGATAAAATTCTTTTCTCTCTAAAATTTATTTTCTACTTCGAAACTAGATATTTCTTCATGGTTGCCAAGCAACGAATTTGTCTTAAAAAACCACAATGTAAAAAGTTTCGAAGGTTTGTTTAGTTAAAGATTAACTGAATAAATTCAATTATTTCATGATTTTCAACTGGATGCGGTTATATTAATTTTCACATCCATTTAATAGCTACTGAGAATATTATGTGATTATATATTCCATTTAATATATTTTAAAGTTCCGTAATGCCGTCACCTGTCGTAATGTTAATACTCGGCTGTAAACGTAACAAATACAACTTAAGTTAAGTTTCCGATACCATTCATCTTAATTCTTTTAAGAAATTTTTCTACTTTTGGAAATAAAAAGTCAACTTCACAAAGTCCAAAATCAGAAGGTAAAAAAAATAATAAAGAAACAAGATTTATATAACTCTCATATTATATGTAAATGTAATTCTTATGATATCTGTAATTCTTTCGTAATTTGTTTGTAGTTTTGTAATTATTTCATGTAATTCTTTTAATCCTCAAAATTTACCTAGTAAAATAGAAATGCTCTTACATTTTCATTTAACTGATAGCTGAACTGCTCAGCAGAAAGAAGAATTAATATATACAAATAATGTATGTTTTATTGAATGCAGTCTTTTACCTCTTGGCTGCATTTGCATACATTTCTTATTCGTTAAAGAAGTATAAATGAATATATAACATGAAAGTAGGATCTTACTGAAGTAGAGTTTGAAACATGTCTTTGCACGTTATATTCTTGCAGACTGCCACAAACTCCGCATGCGTGTTTGGAAATATCTGTTGGGAGTGCCAATAAAATTTCTCCATTGGAATACGACTGGATGTATACACCCGAATGAGTATATAACAGAACACTCGAGTTATCGGATTGTACATGGAATAAATCATTCTTGAAAGGTGAAACCAAATTTTCTTCATCCAGTAACATTTCTCCCGTGGAATTGAGTTGCAGGACGGAACAGGATTGATACACTTTTAAATTATTGGAGTCGCCATCGAGCCGGACACTAAAATGTCCATGGACACAGTCCTCCAGAAGAGTGTAGGAACATTTGTCAGTAAATTGTAGTTGAGAATATCCAAATGTAGTCACGGTATGGTTGGGTGTAACAAAACAGAATGAATCTAAAAGAAAAAAAAATTAAAAGAAATATATTTTGGTTTGGCCCCTCGGTTTTGAAAATCATATTTTTTTTAAAAAAAAACTTATTTACTTATTTGTTCCTGTCTGGAATTCTTAAAGTACATGAACCTTGGTGTATGCTTTAAATAGTTTCTTAATAAATAGCAACTTTATGATACGATTTAAGAAGAGCTTTTCATACTGTTATTTCTCACAGTGCGTAGTTTTGGGGCAAAAACCCCCTCCGAAATTAAACAAATATAAAATAGTTTTCATTATTCATATATATATATATATATATATTGTTAGCAGTCACGGTCGAATGTTCAGCCACGCAGACAACAGTTGGAAGGAAGGAATATTTTTATTGAGCTTCACATCGTGTATTCAGATTATTTTCTGGCATTGGCGGAGCTCAAATCGTGCATCTAGCATTGGCGGAGTCAAACTCCGTGTGCTTTAGTTTTTATCCTCGGGAAAGTAGCAATTGAATTTAAAAGTGTGAGAAAGCGTTTCGGTTTGAATAATAAATTAAGAAAAGGATTTACATAAAAAGAATAACATAAAAAGATTAATTAAAGCTTTTTATATTTCATATATAATCCTCATAATCCAACCAACAATCATAACTACTCATATTTCAAATTTAATTCATTTATCTTTTTTTTTTAATTATTTACGAAGCAATTTAAACATTTCTGCAATTTCAACTATCTGGAGCCGTCTATCACCTATCAGCCACCACAAAGATTTTTATTTTATCATCGCATTAGTCAGTCAGCTGTCAGCCAATATAGTGAAGAAACTTACTGATTTTATAGTATTCAAAAATATTGTTCACTTCAGTCAATAAGCTTTGAAAATATATAAAAATCAAAATACACTGCTCAAAAAATTCAGGGAGCAGACGGATTTAACGTAATTACGCAAATTTTTCTTCTGATAACCAACGTAAAACAAAACTTCCATAGTTCCAGCGTTCATGATGTCAAAAACCAATTAGAGTATATTGGTGCATTTCTCAGAAACTGCTGTTTTCCGTTTTCTCAGAGACGAAATTCAACCTTTTGACTTTTGTTTTGAGAAAAGGTTACTTGAAAATGTAACCACAACGTAATCTACTGGTTCCTTGAATCCGGGCAAACCACAAAAAAGTGTAGCGGACGCTAACGGAATCTGAAATAACTCTATATTCGTTCATCAAATATCACATAACAGGCGAAGTGGTTTGATAGTATGGGCTGGAATCAGCATAGGAAGACGTACTGACCTTCATATAATTTGGAACAGCAAATCTGACGGCTCAAGAGTATTTAGACGGGATCCTGATACTTAAATGACGAAATGCGTGGTCCTAAATGTAGGTTAATGACATATTTCACTCAGCTCGTTTTGTGGAAAACTTGCTTGAAGCTGAAACAATACAGTGGCCAGTATGCTCTCCTGATCTTAATCCGATCGAGCATGTTTGGGACGCACTCGGACGTCGCGTTGTTGCATGGCTAAGGTCTCATATTAATAGTATTCCCCAAATTCTCATCCATAATCTCATCGCATCCATGCAAAACAGAACTGCGCAATCTAAACCTTTTTTTGGGGGGGGGGGGGGGCCCCNTTTTTTTGGGGGGGGGGGGAGACCCCGCACCATATTAAATATCTTGTATCATTTCCAAACAATCAGTTTTTTTATCATTTACATGGAGAACTTTCTTAAAGCTGAAACAATAGTGGCCAACATTCTCTCCTGATCTTTTTTTATTCATTTACGTGTATCTTTTGTCCTTTTCATTTAAACAAATTGTTGCCCTGAAACACATCATTCCATGCTCTTTATACCATTCCAAAGAGTTAAAGTTCCTATACAATTGCTTTTGCTCTTTTTCGTATTGCAATTCGTTACACCTGTATTATTCTCCATTTTACGCCCATGAATGGCAAAAATTTTCGCACTTGTTTACTTGCAACCCAACTTTTTTTTAGAGCAGTGTAATATTTTATAAATTGCATTTAATTGTTTTCCCTTCTTAAAAAAATATTTATCTTATCATCAACCTGCATATTACGTCTGTGTAATAAGAATTAATTCCTGCTAGTATAACTGAAATTTATAAGCTGAATACAACAGATTAGACATTTGTTCAATCCGTCAGGCAAAAAATATCTATTGAAATACCATATTGTAATTTGTATTAATTATTGAGCAAAAAATGTTGGTACATACACGACACACACTTTGGACAGCAATCACCCGGGAATTGCATCAGGGTTTCTTCCTGCAATGATAAATATCACAACTTTACTATTGCACCATAATTTTTTTTGGAGATGAATGTTAAAAAATAAAATAAAACAAACCGGGTGGCATTTGATAAAGGAGCATTGCAAATCGTTGCAAATTACTTGTGACTTTTCACACAGACATTCCTGACAAGAGGACATCCACCATTGTCCATCCTGTAAGATAAATTGTTATATATATATATATATATATAATGGTAAAGAAGGACATAGTAGAGGACAATTATCAATAAACGGATATTTTCCTACTTACCAATATTATTTGTCCATTGACTTGACAAAAAGTAGTATCTGAAATAAGTAAATAAAGAAATAAAATAAAATAAAAATAATAATATTGCGTTTCGAAATGAACACTTTGCATTAATATTTTTATTCCCCAAAATGTATAACTTACAGTCGAAATCGTAATTTTTTAACAAATTCATTTCCAAACTCACAAAACAAAACAAAAATTTCATTTTTGATTTTCATAGTTTAAAAAATTTTAAGAGCATTTACTAGCTCATACTTCATAGCAAAAACAATAACAATAGTGTATAAATAACTGGTTTTAAATCAAACACTTAGAATTTTTAGGAGCTAAACATAATCTAATAATCATTTCAAATAGTTAACTCAAACTTTTTGTTGGTAGTTATATTGGCATTATTTCTTTTTATTTCTATTTATTATCTTGGCATTCTTTATTATATTGGGATTATATATATTGGCCTATTGGCATTATTTATATTTACATATTTATAATTACTCCGAATTTCTCCGAAAAAGTTGGTTAAATAACAATTTATTCAACTGTTATCTTACCATGTTCAAACAAAGCAGTCAAATTACCGTAAATGAGATGGTATTCACCGTTATTTGTGAGAAAAACCGTTTATTAACTGCTTTCATTTAATACGGTTAAGCAACCAGAATTTTATCTCACCAACTGAGCCCATCTAATGATGCCATTCAGTTCCCTGCAGCTGGGTAAATATCATGGCCGAGAATGCTAATCTGTCAGTCTCATTACCGACAATCCCAGCGTTGACAACACAATATTTCATCCATTCCCTTCAACATACGAAGAGTTTTCAGTGTTCTGCATTCCCTCATTTGTATTCTCCACCTTATAATACCCATGACCTTGCCTAACGAAATGTCTAGCTCCAGGCTCAGTTAAATTTTCTTTTACGGTTTTGAAACCAAGCTAGTTGTAAATGGTTAAAAAAAAAACAGTTTAGTTTAGTATTCTTGGCTTTATAGCCATACTAGCTGTAAACTATTTCGAAACAGTAAAGGTAAAAAATATTTTTTCCCGTAAACTTTACGGTTAATTGGATGGACAGATTACTGACGGTTATTTTAAAAATAATGGAATGAAAATTTTAACAGAGTAGTAAAAGAGAAAAAAACACGGTTCCATTAGACATATCGAGCATCAAGGAATTAGGATACTGAATAGATGTTAGCATTATGTGTGTAATATTTCGCTTTTATCTCCAATTATATATATCGAAAAGACGTCATAACTTTTCATTAAAACAGAAAAGAAAATCGAGTGATATAATTGTTAAAAAAACAAAACAGATACAAATGTCATCTATATAAAATCAATGAGAATTACAACGGTATTTATTTGTTTGGACCATGTGCCAATAAAACCCTACATTAAATCAGTTACTTTTTATTTTAGAATATTTAAAAATAATATTTAATAATCACCTATTTTTATTATTATTCTCTGTTAAGATCATATTTTGATTTTTAATTTGAATATATTTCAAAATTAAAGGCTAAAAATTAAAAAAATTTCTCTTTAGTCCTATTACAAAGTAACCGTATAATATTATCTTATCATTTTACAAATTATAAACGATAAATAAATTAGATTTACTCTTATAGTAAATTTTATTTAAAGTTGTATTTGATCAAGATATGTTATTTAAAAAAATGAACGATAAATTTTTTAAAATCTAAAGCAATGGCAAGAATGATTTTTCGCACTTATACTGAATACTCTTTTCAACTATTAAATCATTTTTACACGGTTTTTTAAGCTAAAAACAAAACAAAATAATAATAAAATAAACGAGTTCTTGATGAAGTTGCTATGGTAACCGTACTAACTGATTAGGTTTAATTTTTAACCCAATAAAATCGGACGCTTTAGAGGTTACCTCCATTGACTTCGAGATGTTATCGAAGGTACATGACTTTTTGCAATTGATTTTAATCTTACTTAGTGTCGTTTTCTTAGCACGGAAATACCCATATTGTAGGCGTCATGAAAACCAGATCGATGAATAAAATTTAGCCTCAATATAAATGACTCCTGTTATTAATTGATTAGATATAATTATCTATAAAAACAAATTTACCAATTATGGATGATAAAACCATTTTAAAATTTAGCGTCAATATAAATGACTCCTGTTATTAATTGNATATGTCGAAGTTTTTCGTCAGTCCTATCAGATTCGAGTTATCGCGAATTCACTATGTATATCGAAAAGACGTCTTAACTTTCCATTAAACAGAAGAAGAAAAAAAAATCGAATATTATAATTATTAAAAAACAAAACAAATACAGATGTCATCTATATAAAATCAATCAGAATTACAACGGTATTTATTTATTTGGACCATGTGCCAATAAAACCCTACATTAAATCAGTTACTTTTTATTTGAGAATATTTAAAAATAACATTTAGTTATCATCCATTTTTATTATTCTTCTCTGTTAAGATCTCTTTTTTTTTTACATTTATTTCTAAATTAAAGGCTTAAAATTAAAAAAATTTCTCTTTAGTACTATTACAAAGTAACCGTATTATATTATCTTATCATTTTACAAATAATAAACGATAAATAAATTAGATTTATTTTTATAGCAAATTTTATTTAAAGTTGTATTTGATCAAGGTGTGTTATTTAATTTAAAAAATGAACAATAAATTTTTAAAAATCTTAAGTAATAGCAAGAATGTACTTATACTGAATGCTCTTTTCAACTAATAAATCATTTTACGTGGTTTTTTAATAACTAAAAACAAGACAAGAAAATAATAATAATAAAATAAACGAGTTCTTGATGAAGTTGCGATGGTAACCGTACTAGCTGATTAGGTTTAATTTTTATCCCAATAAAATCGGACGCTAAATCTGTTGGACAAAATCTCTGTTAAAAGATATGTCGCCGTTGAAATCCTTTATTTCATAGAATAACTAAGTTCAGTGAAACCTCTCTGGAACGACCACTCTCCGTTCCGCAGTAAAATGGTCGTTAATGGAGGTTGGTCGTTCTTAGAGGTCACCTCCATTGACTTCGAGATGTTATCGAAGGTACATGATTTTTTGCAAGCAATTTTAATTTTACTCTGTGCCATTTTCTTGGTGCGGAAACACCCATATTGTAGGCGTCATGAAAACCTGATCGATGAATAAAATTTAGCGTCAATACAAATGACTCCTGTTATTAATTGATTAGATATAATTATCTGTAAGAACAAATTTTACCAATTATGGATGATAAAACCATTTTAAAATTTAGCGTCAATACAAATGACTCCTGTTATTAATTGATTAGATATAATTATCTGTAAGAACAAATTTACCAATTATGGATGATAAAACCATTTTAATAAAATAAACAATTATGATTTTTATTTGAGTTTGCATTTATTTTCATATCTTAAAAATTAGTTTACTTTAAAAATTGAGAGGTTTGTTTGTTTGAGATGCTTAGTTTTTTTCCTAAAATATCTTTTTTTCCCCTTCTAATGTAACTTTTTAACTCTATTGTTATAATGGATGCATCGTTTTTAGTACACCCTGACTGAGGTTGAGATTGAGGGGTTGTCAATCTCTCTCAGACATCGTCAAATAGAGCTCTCTAAATAACAGCCAATCAGAGATATTTTGAATACATTCGAATTTACTTATTTGTTTTGTTAATATTTTTTATTTGTATATTTTTTCGTGTTTCCTTATTTAATTTCTTCCGCATTGGGTGTGGAGGTTTTCCCGGTCGCAGCGAGAGGTTTTGATGGCTTCTCCTAAAGGTATTCCTCAACGCAAAATCTATGGAAAAAATCCCGTACCTCCCAATAGTGGTCGTAATTAGAGGTGCCTGGGAGTTTCACAGTATTTCATGAAACAACTAGACAAATCAGTTAAAACACATATTACTTGATCGTTAAAGTATGAAATACGGCTCTCGAAAGTTTTTTGAACTGGTTCTTGCTGCTTTTAGTCAGTTTTGAACTGCTTATAGCTGCTTTGCAATGACGTGTGTCTATGTACGTTTCACTCCGTTGCTCTTAGATTCAGAATTTAGACGGTATATTTATGTTAACTTATGTTGCTTTTCCTTATTATTTATTCACATTAGGTATATAAAATGCATTTTTCGAGAGATTTCAGCTATTTATGTTCAATTAATTCATAAAATAACTTCGAAATTGTATATTCTTTACTTTAACGGTCTATCATTAGTTATTTCAAAGAATAACTAATTATTCTGTAGAATAACTAAGTAAAGTATGAAACTTTTCATCTATTATCTGCCTTTAACTGACTTGCCTAGTTATTTTATGAAATACCTAGTTATTCTGTGACATAACTGAGTTATACGATAACAGATATATTTAAACATTTTTTAAGATAATTGATTGAATATTTTTGTATTTTTATATGAAATCTCTTAATTAAAAAGAAACAAAAATGATTGTGAAGCCATTGTGGGTTTCGTAAGAGAAGCAAGCAGGTGGAGTCAGTTAGTTATAAATATTTTTTAATAATCATTTCAACGAATGTTTGTAAACGTAATCAATCATTCATTCTAAGAAAAGGAAAACTTGATTTGTTGGAGTAAAATGTTATCTACTAGAAAGTGCTATGAATTTCAAGAATTTTTAAACAAAAATCAAAATACCTATGCAAGTGTGGTTGTCATCCGATAGAGTCATATTTTCTGGGCAGCCGCACTTGTAAGAACCATCGGTATTGGTGCAGAAATGTGTACAATTACCATTGTTTTCCTGACACTCGTTTATATCTGAAAAAATGATTAAATATTCACATTCTACTCACTTAATGAAAAAAGTTTGAAATTAACACCATGAATTCAATTTTTTTAAATAACTAGCTTTCTAGTAGTTTTAAAAAAGCCTTTCAAAAATTCCTATTTTTTTTACATTCAAATGGAAAATATTCATATGAAAATCAACACATCTTTATATTAAGGCAAACCTAAAAGGAAGTATGACACAAATATTGATTATCTTCTGTAATATTTACATTATTACAAAAAAATAACAGATATAGACAGTTAATGGGATTCACATAACCTTGCGCAAAAGCTTCACGATTGTTATATTCCTGGGGTTTGATAATTCGTTTAATTTAAATCCGATTCACTGTAAAACAATGGATACTCAAATCTCACGAAACTTTCTTCGTCTTTGATGAAACCGTTTCCTGGTATATGCTCCGAGCAAAAATTTCGTTAAAGTAACAAAATTTTCTAACTAATAACTAATAAAATAACTATCGTCACTTCTTCGAAAACCGAATTTTGCTTAATTAAAGAAAAATTTCATCCTTTTCATTTTTTTCGAAAAAAAAGAAGAAAAAAAAAAAGAAGTACCTCGTAGTGCCTAATATATTTAACTGATCTAATAATCAACTTTATTGTGGGCACCATATAAGGGGCAAAACACAACCAAGGAAAATAGAGCAGAGAGATAAATTACACGCATGCCCGACGCCAGATACAAGTAGATATTGAAGGTCAATATCTAAGAAAGTCGAAGACTTTTTAATGACCTTTGACCTTCAATGTAAGGGTCCGCTGAGAGTATTTATGTCATATCATTAAGAAAAAAAATTACATGTACTTACCATAATCACATAATTTTCCGTCATACCCTGAGCTGCAGTTACAATAAGAATAAGCATCACCTTCTATGCAAGGTTGACCATTCTGACAAGGATTAGGAGTGCAATCTTCAACTGGACGTTTGCTGCAATCACCTTCAAGAGATTGCAAAAGATTTTACACAGTCTTCGCCAGTTTAAAAAATATCATTTTAAAATTAAAAGCTTCTACCAAACTGTAAATAAGTACTCATATTTTTTATCTATATTTCCACTCAGAAGCATAAAAATTGGACAATTTATACAGATTCCGAGAATTGCTTAGAAGCTGTGAAAATTCCATCTATAGAGCTACATTCAATTATAATCTCCGTATTTTAAAATTTCTAATGGATCTGAATAATAAAGGTTTTAAAATTCTAATTTTTCCTGGATCCCTGGTCACGTAGGAATCACGTCCTGGTTCTACAGCAAAATCTTTCTGACAGGCTTAAGACGTGATGTTCAAACTGAAATAGTCCCGCAGTGAACTGATCGTTAAGACACGGTTCCCAGCAGATCATCGAAGGCAAGCATCACCGGCTGCGGTCAGTGTGCGGGTGGGCGGCCACTTGGATCAGTCTGCGTAGGGACCGACGGTGTGCGGTATAGGTCCTCGTTAAACTGCGTTACCGTAAAGTGCTCGACTTCGCGCGCAGGTCGTCGGGCTGCCGAAGCGGGGGTGCCATCCCCTCCACAGAGGATCAAAATTGTGATGGCATGTCTTCGGATCATCCTCAGGGATGTTTCCCAGACCGTCGCCAGTAGCCCATTGTGCAGCTCTAGTGCAACGTAAATTAACAACAACATCAACTGATCTTCCTCAGGGATGTTTCCCAGATCGTCGCCAATAGCCGATTGTGCAGCTCTAGTGCGACGTAAATGAATTACTACTACTACTCAAACTGAAATAATAAATGCTTTAATTACTAATTGGCAGATAGGATGGAACACAAAAATAAATAACAAACTGCATGAAATAAAACCGATGTTTTCCCCTTTTAAGATCCTAAATTGCTCCAGAAAAATGGAAGTACTAATAAAACGATTACTTATAGGTCATAGACGCCTCTTGTTGAACGAACCAGCGCCTGTTTGCCCCAGTTGCAGAGAATCATTCACTATAAAGCACATCTTAAGCCAGTAATTCAATTTTAAAGCTAAGAGACGGCGATATTTTAACACTGAATATCCTGTAATTATTGGAGACGATTGATTGACAATCCACATAGAAACCTTCTTCAATATTTTAAAGACACCGGATACTTCCAAAACTTTTAAACAGACTTTTAATTGTGATCAAGTGCTGAGCTCGGTATAGCCTTCTTTGACTCTCGCACAAAACTACCTAACTAACTAGTATTTTTATCAATGATATTGCAAAAAAAAAAAACATATAGCTGAATTTCAAGAAGTTAAATTTTTAAAAGCATACATTGTTATTTCGATGGAATAAAACACATTAATTATAATATCTTACTGTTTCCTTTGATTGAATATAAACAGTTACAGTTCTTGACTGCGCAGCGTCCTTTGCCTGGAAAAAAAAGTAAAGAAAATAATAGGTTTAAAATGATGAAACTAATTATTTGAAAATTAGATCATTTTAAAATGTTCTTTTTTGTTTGTTTTAGTTCCAACAAAATAATTCACGTTTCAATAAATATAGTTTTGTTTTGAACTTTAGAGTTTAAAATTTTCGTTTTTACTGCAGGAAATTTCCCTACGTTAGAAGATAACCTAATATAAACCTATTATAAATAACCTAGTAGTAATAAAACTTAGATAACCTATGTAAACCCAGGATAAACCGCTTCAGAACCGAAATGAAAGTTTCAGAAGCCACATTTCTTTTCCTTCAAAATATCAAAATCTAAATAAATTATGGCAGGACTTCTCAGGATTACGCAGTGGGAAAGTAATCTAGCCATATTTATTTATTTAATTATTTTTAAGCATTTATTTATTTATTTTATTTATTTATTTTATTTTTTAGTTTATTAATTTATTTAATTATTTTATCTCTTTATTTATATTTATTTATATTTATTTATTTACTTATATTTATTTATATTTATTTATTTACTTATATTTATTTATTTATTTATATTTATTTATTTATTTATATTTATTATTTATTCATATTTATTTATATATTCAGTATTAGAAACTCCATTGTTTTTCCCTAGATTTACTATAAGTTGCTTTTCTTTTAAACCTCAAATTTTAAATAACTTGCATAAGTGAAAGAGATTTTACAATGAAGGGTTTTTCCCCCGGTGTAGTTTCCTCCTAAAAACCAATTAAAAATACTTTGATTCATTTAAGATATACTTACTTTCTCAGAATATTATGAAAGAAATGTCCCTCAATATGAGGTCGTGAGGAAAATAAACAATGCTTACTCGAGCAGAGGTCTACTTTTTCTGAAACTTGAATATTTCCATGTACATTGTTAGAAACTTGAAGCCAGGGTATTAAATTTCCAATATAACCACACATTAACGGCAATGACTTTATCTCATTTTCGGACAACGCATAATCCCACACATTAAACTAATGGAAAGAAAAAAATTTGACCAATCAAAACTTTCAAACATAACTTTTCAAATTATATAACGCATAAAGAAGACATATACATTACATATATATATTACATGTAAGATCTTACGATCTTATTTGAAGAAAATAGTAGTCATTTCACAGACGAGGCACAAGTTGGCTTCTCTTAAGTTTTATTCAGCATTTTATGATATATTCTTAAGGACTAGGTTTTCTTTACATTTACATTACATTTAAGAATGTATGATTACGTTGTAAAATACACCAAAGGTAGCGCAAATATTAAAGAAGATATGCTTTCGAGAGAAACACCAGATTCAAAATTAAATGTAAACAATAATGTCACATCTTTTGCGATTAAGTGAAATTATTAAGGATTAATAGGTGACAATTTAACTGAAAAAATGTGTCGAAATTAATAATATATATTGCCTTCGTAAAAAAGGACTTACTAAAATGGTAGTACATTTTTCATTACGGTTAAAATTGTTCATAAAAAATTTGGGCATCCTGGTATTCAAAAAACAATTAATTTATTAACTCCTGTATATTATTGGCAAAACATTATTTCTGATATAACTAAAGTTATTAAACATTGTCGCGCATGTCAAGTGAATAAGAAGCCCCAACAAAAAGTATTTGGGCTTTTACAATCGATGTTTCTTGCAGATAAACTATTTAATCCACTTACAATTAGTAGTGTTGGTAGACTTAACCATTATAAATCAACAAAAAAATTTTTGACCTTAATTATGAATCATTTCACGCGATACATATGGGCTTTCGCTTCCAACTCAATTACAACAGAAACTTATACGACTTTTATTTATAAAATTTTTCATTTCAAAAAAATTCTTAAGCACCATAAAGTTAAACAACTTTTAACTACAACTCATAGGCCTGAAACTAATGGTAAATTAGAGAGACTGGGACAAACAATAACCAAGCGTTTAAAAAATAAAATTAATGAAAATTTCAAATAACGTGGCCTAAATTATTAAAAGTAGTTGTTAAGGAAGAAAATTTAGCTCTTTCTCAGTTACAAATTTTCCTTCGACACATTTATTAAATGGGTTAGTTCCATTTGAAAATCCTTTAAAAGAGGATCCTCCAATCGAAGAAACTTAAGAATATAGCAGATGAAAGGACAAAACACGAAAAAATTATGTTTGTGGATATAAATGTTTCACTAGGTGAGACAATCATGTATGAAGAGTTTAAATATCCTAAAGATAGAAAACTCACTCCGACGTTTAGTGGTAATTATACCATCATTAAAAAAATGTCTCATGTGAATTATGAAATCTATAAAAAGAATAATCATACTAAAGAAAAAACAGAAACCGCACGTGTTTCCAAACTAAGAAAATAATCTTTTAATTGGCATCTTGACTTTTTATGGCTCTTTGTGACAGAGCAATTCCTACGTCTTAAAATTAATAAGAGAATATATTTTTATCTATGACTTAAGACTCGTATGAGACATTCTATATTACATACATTTACATTAATAACGTAAATACATAAAGCAGAAACCAGAGGAGATCTTAAAACAATACGATAGAAATTCTAACGAGAATTTAAAGGAACTTCTTGTCAATAATTTCTTAAACAATAAGTAATAATGGAAAATACGATAAGAGTAATTCTAAGGAAAATTTAAAACACATTCTACTTCATAATTTCTTAAGCAATAAGTTATAATGGATTGCATGGTAAGGGAAATTCTAACGAAAATTTAAAACGAATTCTTATTCATACTTTTTCAAATATAGCTTTGCATGCCAAAAAAATTCTATTGATATTTAAAAACAACACGCATTCATACTTCCTTTAACAATATGTTGTAATACACGATAAATAAATTCTAATGAAATTTTAAACAGCTTCGCATACATATTTTTAAATAACGTGTTGCTGTAGATGATATGATAAAAATTCAATTCATATTTGAAAAAAAAATATCACATTCATACTTTCTTAAATAATATGTTGAAATTGATTACATGATGCAGAAAATCTATTGTTATTTAAACAAATCTCATGCATACTTTTTTTAAAAAATATGTTAGAATCAGTAGTTAATAAAGCAATTCTAGTGACATTTTAAAACAAATACACGTTAATACTTTCTTAAACAATATGTTAAAATTGATTTCAAAATACAGTAAATCTATTATTATTTTTACAAAAAATCAAATTCCTTTTTTTTTTAAATCGTATGTCACAATAAAGAGATTTCGTCAATATTTTCAAAAATATTCACATTTATACTTTTCTTAACAATGAGCTGCAATACATGATAAAAAAAAATTATAATGGTAATTTGAAACAATTTAGCATTCATAGTTTTTTAAACAGTATGTTGCAATAGATAATATGATAAAAAGATTCTAATGAAATTGTAAAACAAGTTTACATTAAGAGTATTTTAAACAATATGTTGTAATAGATTAAATGGGTTCGCCGGTAAAGGTGTCTGAATTTTTATCTGCAGGGGTACAGTGATGGGAGGTCACGTAAGGTCATTTTGACCTTGCAAAGATTTTCACTATTCTGCTAGGCTATTCGGCATACTTAAGAAAATTCATTTTCTCATATTTTATTTAGAAAACATAAATATGAAGGTGGCACACAACGTGGCAATTGCTGATTGTGGAAATGTGGTCAGCATTGCTTACAGGCAGCCTTTACTTTCCAGAAAAACTGGAACCCATAGATCTGCAGCTGAGTGGGCTTCAAGTTAACGCTGAGGATCAACCCCTTGACTAGAATAATTAAGTAGTTAACCCTTTCCTGAGCAGAAAATTTCGATTGAAAATTTTATTCGGGTAAGTACTACCTTAGAGAGTATATTCTAAATACAGTGACAGTTCTTTGTCGTTAAAAGAATAGTGGTTGCTAAGTGTTTAAAAACCGTTAGCTTTACATTTCTAGTGGTATGTCAGATTTGTTGAATTGGTGTTGCCAGACTGGCTAAACTGCACTGGAATCAGTAATATATTCGTGGAAAAAATTAACAGATTGGAAAAATACTAGGAACAAAATCTTTTTTTTTTTTATCGAAGCTAACGAATAACATGCGTATTTTTGATTCGGTCTAATTTCATTCAGCAAAATGGAAATTTCCCGCTTTTCAAAAGTTCCCGGTTACCCTGATTGTCTGAAAAATGTTTTATTGCAAAATTACTTAAATGGAATCATACGAGGATCGTTTTTCTAAGTAGGAGCCGTTTAAAAATAAAAAACCGAACGAAAGATAATTTTCAAGAAGCAAATTTATTTTCTGATTCTACATACGTTTCTCTTTTTTTTCCAGCATAGTTACCAAGCTTGCTTAAACACTTATCATACCTTACAACCAGATTTAGAATACCCTCTTCATACTAATTTGCCGCCTCCTCCGTTAACCAACAGGTCACGGCCGTTTTCACGTATTCATCATCATCGTTGTAGTGATTGCCACCAAAATGATGTTTGGAATATCGGAAAATATGAAAATCCCTCAGCGCAAGATCTGGGCTGGAGGAAGGGGAGTACCAAAACTTCTCAGCCAAAAGAGTTCAATAAACCTGGGATCTGAGCTGCGAAGAGAGTCATTGTCATAGAGTAGCGAAATTCCCTGTCAGCATGGCAGAGAATTTCGTTACTTCACAAATCTACCAGAAACTGTATGTAGCAGAGAAGTATTTTTAAAAACGCGTCACTGACCGTATCTCGTGCGTTGCGGGCGATTTGTTAAATTTGAACATTTTAAAGACACAGAACTGACCGTACAGGTTACTTACACAGCTGTAACTGAGCACAGTTGTTCCCAAGGAATGCCGGGGACACGACACAGGCACTCGTTGCAACGCATGCGTCGCATATTAGTGTACACAGCAAAACAGCCCTTAACTTTAAAAAAAAAAACCTCGTTGTTGTTGTTGACGTATGCCTGTTTGGGCAGAGGGGGTGCAATTGTTCTTGTTTTCCAGTAGCGACATCTATGGCCAAGAATTCGACTTCTGCCACACCATGCGCCGCACCCGTTTATAGGGCGGACCCATTCATACAACCATTCATTCATCCACAGATCGTAATTTTGACCTGAATCAGAGAACGATCGATCTCCAATCCAGTACCCCAGGAGGTATTGATTTGTTATGGAAACATGGAGGACTTTTGCAACTCGACAGACTTAACGTGCATCACTCACTTTACTGCACGGGGAGTCTTCGGCCGGCGGGGTTCGAACCCACGAACTCTCGGACATGGGCCCAGCTTCCTACCGACCAGGCTATCCCGGCCCAACAACCCTCGTAATAACCTTGAAATCTAAGTAATCAACGGAATCTTACCTCAGTAATGTCACCAACAAATGCTTCGAGTGTGCTAAAGGTTCCTCCCAAACTGTCTTGTTCCTGTCCTAATACAAACATTCCGGGCCACATGTAATTCTCGGTACCGATGCCGTCACCTGAAGCAGCAACTTTTCCATCGACAAAAAATGACCACTTTCCACCCTTCCTCTGCCATGTCAATGCGTAATGATGCCAGTTGAAATCACTAAAGAATAATTCATCTCTATAGTAATCTAATTAGATACAATTAGGTACTTCAAGAAGAAGATCACAAATGCCCACACATGTGACCTATGACGCCAGCGAAATCTAATCGTTTACAAGTAAATTGGCGTGCTGAATTTGAGCAAAATTTCTACTCATAAGTTAGAAAATTAATGAACGTGAAGTTAGTTAAATACATATCGCACATCGAATGTGTTGAAATATAATTCTTTCTNCATCGTTGTAGTGATTGCCCCCAAAATGATGTTTGGAATATCGAAAAATCACTCAGCGCAAGATCTGGGCTGTAGGAAGGGGAGTACCAAAACTTCCCAGCCAAAAGAGTCCAATAAACCTGGGATCTGAGCTGCGAAGAGAGTCATTGTCACAGAGTAGCAAAATTCTCTATCAGCATGGTAGAGAATTTCGCTACTTCACAAATCTACCAGGAAATGTATGCAGCAGAGAATTTTTTTTTTGCAGACTAAAAACACATCACTGAACGTATCTCGTACGTGGTGGACAATTTGTTAAATTTGAACATTTTAACGACGCAGAACTGACCGTACAGTTTACTTACACAGCTGCCACTGAGCACAGTTGTTCCCAAGAAATGCCGGGGACACGACACAAACACTCGTTGCAACGCACTCGTCACCTATTAGTGTACACAGCAAAACGGCACTTAACTTTAAAAAACAAAAACTACCCTCGTTGTTGTTTTTTTTGACGTATGCCTGTTTAGGCAGAGAGGGGTGCGATTGTTCTTGTCTTTCAGTGGCGCCATCTATGTCCAAGAATGCGACTTCTGCCACACCATACGTCGCACCCGTTTATAGGGCGGACCCATTCATTCATCTACAGATCGTAATTCTGATTTGAATCAGAGAACGATCGATCTCCAATCCAGTGCCCCCAGAGGTATTGATTTGTTATGGGAACATGGAGGACTTTTGCGACTCGACAGATTTAACGTGCATCAGTCACTTTACTACACCTGGAGTCTTCGGCCGGAGGGGTTCGAACCCACGAACTCTCGGACATGGACCCAGCGCCCTACCGACCAGGCTCTCCTGGCCCAACAACCATCGTAATAACCTTAACCGAAATCTTAGTAATCAACGGAATCTTACCTCAGTAATGTCACCAACAAATGCTTCGAGTGTGCTAAAGGTTCCTCCCAAACTGTCTTGTTCCTGTCCTAATACAAACATTCCGGGCCACATGTAATTCTCGGTACCGATGCCGTCACCTGAAGCAGCAACTTTTCCATCGACAAAAAATGACCACTTTCCACCCTTCCTCTGCCATGTCAATGCGTAATGATGCCAGTTGAAATCACTAAAGAATAATTCATCTCTATAGTAATCTAATTAGATACAATTAGGTACTTCAAGAAGAAGATCACAAATGCCCACACATGTGACCTATGACGCCAGCGAAATCTAATCGTTTACAAGTAAATTGGCGTGCTGAATTTGAGCAAAATTTCTACTCATAAGTTAGAAAATTAATGAACGTGAAGTTAGTTAAATACATATCGCACATCGAATGTGTTGAAATATAATTCTTTCTTTTCTCTGTCTTCTACTTAACTTAGATTTATTATTTGTTCATATTTTTTATTTTGTATCCCTGGCAACTTCGATACATAATTAGTTTGTCTATGTTCTACTTCGTGCCTGTCTTTGTGTTAGGTAAGAAATATTCAGTGAAAGAATTTAAATCTTTGTAAAAGAATATAGAATGAGCCACTTAAAAGAATTGATATTTGACCGAAATACCCACTCTACGTCACTTGCAGGTATACCATTATCAAAAAGTGAATAATTTTTTAATTGTTACTTAACAGAGTTCCGAATATTGTAAACATTTTTCTTTGATATTTTATTTGGATATGTTACTATGAAAAAATAAGAGCTACGTCTTTTTTTCTAGTTTGTTTGGGAACTATTTTCTTCCGAAATATTTAAACAAAAGATTTATATAATTAAAAAAAAAACGCCTCAAAAATGGCAGATAATTTGAAAAAGATCATCAAAAGATAGTATTTCTAACTTAAGTAAAATTATAAAACAATGCAGCAACAATGTTTTGCAGTGTGCCGGTACATTAAACAGACAGTTGTGTAGACAATTTAAATGGAATTGAATGGAAACATGCTCGGGAAACCTATTCTTAGCTTTTATCGTCACCAGCGACGTCTACCGACACACTTTGAGACTACTTTTGAAATTCAGTAAGAATAAATTCTCCGATTTCCTAAGCCAAACACAGTAAACCGAACGTTTCTATTTATACCTGTTTAGGAAATTTAAAATTTAAAAAAAAAATGTGTCAAGAACTTTATAATAAATATTAAAAAAATCAATGCTTTAAAATTAAAATATTTTGATAAATAATTAAATACAGTATTAAAATTTGTACCATCACAAAAGAAAGTGTTAGAAAATTGCTTTAATAATTTCTCAGAAAAACTATATCCCAAATTAATACATTGGGAGTACAAATTAGTTGTCCGTTTTTCTGTGGTTAAAAATGCATTTATTTTGGAATAAAATGAATGAACAGTATTGTCCATTGCTGGCCACTGCTTTTTCCCACCTCTCAGGCAATTTTCGAATTCCATCTCGAAAAAATGTCTCGTCTTTTGAGGCGATCCAAGTTAGCAGTCTATTTTCGATTTCTGCAAAAGAAGTGAACCGGTGATTTGCCAAATCATTCTGCATGCGTCGGAACAACCAGTAATCAGAAGGAAAAATGTCCGACGAATACAGCGGGTGCTGTAAAATATCATACTTGAGAGTTTCCAAATTATTGTTTACGACTTTTGAAACATCAGGCCGACCGGTATCATGCAGAAGATTAACTTTGTCATGTCTTTGCTTGTATTCCGGTACGAATCAATTGTAGCCTAAACCGTTCTCCCGTAATGGAATCGCCAGGTTGTAGCAGCTCATAGTGTGCAACACCATTCACCATTCTTGAAACGTCGAAACCATTCCCTACATGANGTATTCCGGTCATTTTTCTCGTAATGCACGACTCAAACGAATCAATTGTAGCCTAAACCGTTCTCCCGTAATGGAATCGCCAGGTTGTAGCAGCTCATAGTGTGCAACACCATTCACCATTCTTGAAACGTCGAAACCATTCCCTACATGATTTATCAGTTGGAGCATTGTAGCCATCAACTTCTACAAGCATTCGATGCGCTTCAGCTGCACTTTTCTTGCAATTAAAGCAGAAACATAAAACCTCCCGCAAATGCTGCTTAGTTACCACAAAATTTGACGTATTAGAAAATTAAAAAACAGGTTTTTTTGTATGAAACTCAAAGCGATATAAACTGAATATTATTGACAGATGTCTAACCTCTCTGAAACCAGCTGTCACTTTGAAACATTCATAACAGCCAGAGCCATCTTTTGAAAACGGACCGAACTAATTTGTACTCCCAATAATATGGGGAAGAATATCGAGACTTCCCTATAATCGTATAAGAATAGTACTCACTGATTAGCCTTCACTCCAGTGTGCAGCTCTTCTCCGTGGATGTAAATGATGAATCCACGTGTATCGTAAAACGTGAGTGCATTGTCCATTAAAATGTTCTTTTCCTTGTCATAGTAACTGTAAGAAAGAGGTGTTGGCCTTTTCATGGCCTCGTCATAATTCGTCCGCATGAAAAAGGACACAGTTATCGAATAAAGTCTCTTGGTATTCTGTACGATTGCATAATTTGCAGTGGATGGAGACATAAAACTCAATGAAAATTCTTTAGGCAAAGCTGAAAGAGATGCAAAATTGAATGGCAATTTCTGGAAGCAAAGCCGACAAATGGATGGTTGACCGCGTAAAGATGGCGATAAGGGTTTCAATTCGTCGTAAGATTTTTAAGCCTAAGCTTGTTAAAATGCACCATCCAATAGTAATATACTTTAGTGCTGTCCTCAATATAACGCGTTCTTTCAATCTAAATTTCAACGAAACAAAAAGCAATTGAATTCGGAAGACTCCGCAAGCTTGCTGAGATGCTACCCACAAAATTAACAAACGGTGTTATTTTACGCAAATATAGTCAAATAAGTGACAATGAAAACATGACTAACCTTACATCTTTATTTATTCTGTGATATTAACCTTGTTAAATTTTTTTCAGGCTCACGGCCTGTTAGAATTTATAAATGACAGAAAACTCTTAGGAATGGTTAAATGACGCCTAAATTTAAACACACATCACAATAATACAACTTCCTAGAATATTAAGCCTGTTCACACAGCTCCTCATAAGCATAAGCGGAGGGATACACCGCAAGTTTTCTAAATTTCTTCCGGTTTTGGAAGGGTTGTAATTGCTTACATTCAGTCAACCATCCATACACAAAATAGCGTTCTAAAAAGAAATTTTAAATGTAGATTTAATTATTCACGACTTTATATCGCTCATTTGGTGAAAAAATGACGTAATTGCAAAATCAAGTTACGTCATTGTTTCACAAAATGAGCGATATAAAAAATATTATTTTTCCTTTGAAAAACAGCGACCAATGGCAAAATAAAGGATAAATTCGGATTATTTATTCATTTATTTTATTTTTTTAACATCTCTTTCGATATTTTAGCGGGAATAAAGTGTTCTATATATCGCTCAATGATGTAACTTGATTTTGCAGTTACGTCATTGTTTCACCAAATGAGCGATATGAATGTGTTTATTGTTTATAAAAAGAAAAAGTTTCCACAGTTAGCCTGAAGGAATTGGACCTATAAATCCATGATTCCTCTACCATTAGGGATATTTTGTGGCAGAACTATGGTCAGTATAGGCTGACAGCCGAAGGCGTACTGACCAGCCATCACTGATGCGTCTCAATGAGAAGCGAAAAATTAAAAGGTGCAACGATGCTTCTTTTTTTCAATCACATTACTTAATGCTTGTAAAATAAAAAACGTTTTAATAATTAATTAAATTTTACACATTACATTAACAATTTTAATATAAAACCCCTCGGAATATATAGAATGTTTTGATAGGGAACTAGATAGCTTTGAACTTTCGAAATTAAATAAGTTAGCTGCAGGCTTTTAAATATATTTATGATACAGTATTAGTATTGCGTTATGATCATTCAAAATTTCAACTGATGATTTTTAACTGATAAATGATGACTTAATTAATATTAATAACAGCATCAAAAATAAAATTTAGATCAAAATAAAAGTTAGTACTTATCAAAGGTATATAATGATCCAAAATCTCGCGAATAATTCCACACTAAACAAAGCCATCTTCTCGTGGGACGAAATCTAACGGAGATAAGGATTTGTATCTATTAAAGTGTTTCGTAAGCGTCAGTTTTTGTCCACGTGAAATTACGAGCTCGACAGATCACATGAAATACCGTTGATAATGTGCTCAACGGAATTAGTCTAAGATTTTGTCGTCGGTACATTTTCAGAAATACGCTAGAATAATAAAAATGAATTTAAAAATTCACCTTTTTCGCATCTATCACCAGCGAAGAGGATCGAGCACTGGCAAGATGCACTATTGATGCCATTGATGCAAACGCCATCATTGAGGCAAGTGTGGTTCAAACATTCATCTACATCAGATTCGCAGAACACTCCCTCGTATCCCGCTTTGCAAAGGCAATTAAAATCAGTTTCATTCGATTCACAAGTACCTCCATTCAGACATTGGACAGTGTCACACAGATTTCGTTCCAGTTTTTTCTCACAATGCACTCCAGTAAAACCGGGAGGACAGCAGCATTTGTACCCCTAGGCAAACGTTCGTAAACACAAGAATTAAAAAAACAAATCATAGTTCAGTGAACCTAACTAAAACATGAAGGAAAAAAATGTTTTTCAGCGTTGGGTGAATTGGAAACAGAAACACTGAAATAATTTAGACACATTTTTCCATTCAAAAAATTGAAATTTTTAGTGTTCCTCCGCTAAAAGGTTGGCATGTATGATATCCAGTTTTCAAATTTTTATTTTCTCTTAAAGCTAAATACGTCAGCTACCTTCTACCATGTTACTCCAAAATACCTCTAAAATAGGGTCGAATATTTTTTCGGGTGCCCCAAATTTGAATCGGGAGCCCCATAATCAACAAACAATTTTTAAAAAATCGAAGAATAGAAGAAGATAGATACATTCAATATGGTACGCTTTTTCTTAAGAAAAAAATGTAGATTTTTATTACCATTTAATTTTGAAACACTAGTTACGAAGTTTGTCAACAGATGGCTCTCTTAACTCTATACTATCATGCAGTGGATAATTTTTCAAGTAAGAAGCACCACGTGTTGATGAACTTTATAACTACTTTAAAATTTGAAAATAATAAATTCTTGCCCATGAGCAAATCGTATTTTTCTCTCTTTCCGTTTCCAAATCTTGGGTCATTTTTTGGAATTCGATTCTTAAGAACTTTTAACGTTAAAAAACGCAGAGGTAAATTGTTGGCGTTTACTCTTTCCCTCTCAATTTTATTTTTGATTGAAAAATATAGAGAAAAAAGTTATTACTTATTCATAATTGTTTTTTCTTGTTCTTTCTTTTTCTATAGTATTTGAGAATATTGTACATTAGGATTCGCGACATTGACAAAATAAATTGCAAAATTGACATAAGACATAAAAAATACTATCTACCAAACACCTAACTCAAAACAAGAAATATTTAAGAAAATTAATAAATAAGCTTCTTTCCATCTATACACTTTCTACCAATAAGTATTTGGACACGTGTGATTGAAAAGAAAAACAAACATTATTCATAATCAATAGTTGGTACAGCCTCCACGAGAGGCAATTACAGTGTGAACCCTTCGGGGGCATACTTTCCACAAGTCCTTGCGTGACGGCTAGTGGTATCTTCTTCCACTCGACTTGGAGAAGACATGTAAGTTCCTTCACTAATTTTGGAAGGGTAGTACACCCCTTAATTCGGTGATCCAACTCGTCCCAGAGGTTCTCGATGGGGTTCAGGTTCGGGCTCTGGGCAGGCCAGTCCATTCGATTAACCCCATTGGCACCATACCAAGCCTTGGTGACCCTCGCAACATGACAGCTGGCATTGTCGTCCTGAAGTAACAGGGGTCCATCCCGCTTAAACTGCCACCACGTAGGAAGCACATTGTCATCCAAAATAGTGCAATAGGCATCGGCGTTGAGCTTACCATGAATGGGGACCAAGGATCCCAATACCAGGAGGGCATGACGTATCTCAGGACCGCAGATATAGTCATTTGCTTAGTTGTCCAAATACTTATTGGTAGATAGTGTATATATATATACAATATATATGAAATTCAATTTCTTTTCAACTTTTTTGAGCGAAAAGAGTTCTCAAACCGTTTTTCTCGAAACCTTTTAAAATATGTTGTTTTTTCAATTGCATAGTAGGTCTAGTGTCGTTTAAGGTTGAAACAAAATGTTCCATATCGAATTCACGTTTGGATGATCATGATCCGCTGGTGTCGGGAAAGCTCGTGTCATATATGATACCGCGTGAAAGGAGAATCGCATCATTACGTTTTTCCTCATCCGCACTACAAGTAGTGAAACAACTATATTCGCTACTTTTTTTCGTAGTTTCTAGTGTAGAGTGCAGTAGTTTGTAGCGATTCCTGGCAACTACTTTTAACGTTAGTTTAGAAAAGAAGCAAGGCTCCAACGCAACTCATTTTCCGAATTTGATGGGTGCAAATCTTCGCAGGTCCGTTAATGGATGCAATGAAAATGACCCCGTGGCTGTAGTTGAGCGTTAACAGAACGAAATTACGTATCTGGAATCATGTTTAAATTGCATTTAAACTAGTCATTACGAAAAATAGATAATTAATCCCACTTTTACACGCAAATGCACGTTCATGGAACATGGATGTTATTTCAAAGGAAGGGAACCTATTTTCGATGGACTTCATTTCGTGGAGGAAATAAAAGAGCATTAAACGATAAAAAAATTGCCAGTGTTTGATAATTTCGCATTTCTTAAGTTAAATATTTGCTGTCGAGAAAGACGTAAAAAGTTGAATGTAAAATGAACAAATTAAAAAATAAATTTTTTGAAATAAAAAATTGTCTCATGTAAACAGGAATCATCAAAACAAATTTCATAGAATCATTGAACGAATCACAGGAATCATTCTACAACAATTGTCTCGTGTAAACAGGAATCATCAAAACAAATTTCATGTTTAATATTAATCAATTTTATATTCAAAACCATTTTGAACATGGGTGTAAATTGATTTCTCCAGCAAAGTTCCGTTCCTTAAAGTAGTGAAGTAGTTATTAAATATCAAAGTAGTGAAGTAGTCACTAGATTTTAATTAAAAAAAGGGGTAGTTGTAGTTAACTACGTTTGTAACAAAATTGTTGTAGTAAACTGCAAAAATAATGTAGTTCTTCCGACCACTGGTCCTGAGCTGGTTAAGCAAATGAAACAAACAAAAACCTCAGAATCAGCTAGAGACTATGTAAAAAAAAAAAAATGCTTACTTCCAGTTTGTCAAAACAGGTACCTCCATTTAAACATGGATCTAAACCGCAATCAAATATATTTATTTCACAGTTCAATCCCCCAAATCCAGCTGAACAGATACATTCGTATCCTTTAATCAAGTCTTTGCATTCACCGCCATTCTGGCACAAACCTTAAATGAAAGAGAAAACATCTTAAGGTCATTTAGAACATTTTAAGGTCAGTTGAAATAGGTATGCACAATGGATACAATTATCAGAACAGAAATTTATGACCAACTGAAATCAAAAGGTCATTTTTATTATAACTAAAATCAATTTATATAATACTCTAACTAAACCTGTATTTACGTATTGGCAGCAAATGCTGGATTTTAAATAAAACTGAGGAAAATAAACTACTCATATTTGAAAAAGAAAATACTCAGAGCCATCCTTCGGAGCTGTTAAAGAAAACAGTGATTTTATATTTTATTTCATGATCGTCGTTGAACAGCCGACCCACTTTCTGGTTTACAACTACTCATGCTCAACTACGTAGCCTTGTCATTTTGAACCCAATCCAGAAGACAAGGAAACTCCTGGATCAAGTGTTAGGAGAAATTTTGCCTTCGTGGAGGACTTTTTGATGGAACCGACCAGCATTTGCGTTACATGGAGAGGAAGAGGAACCACCCTCGGTTAGCCTAACGGCAAGGGGACTATAACCCATAATCCGTCTACTATTGAGGATACTTTACGTCAGCACTTTAGTTGGTGCAAGCCGGGTGCGGAATTCTTATCGTCGCTGGGATAGCCATTGCTGGGATTCGAACCCGGCTCACCTCATTGGAAGGAGAGCGCTCTATCACCTGAGCCATCGCAGCTCAGAAAACAGTGATTGAGGGGTTTAGTACAATTATGAATTATACAGAAAATTTAAGCAACCAACCATTATTTCAATTATTAAATCCTATAGAATGAAATGGCTGGGTCACATCTAGAGAAGGGATGATGTGACGCAGCTGAGAAGCTGACTTTTGATAAGTTTACAGGCAACTGAAAAGGGGAAAGACTCCATATGGATTGATTCTATAGAAAAAGATCTCGGAAACCATGGGAATCAATAAATGGAGAAACCTAGTGTCTAATCGAGACAGATATAGACGGCTAGTTGGGTTGGCTCCATCCTGTACTAGGCTGTCATGCTGATGGGGGAACAAGCCAAAAAAATGAAATAAGAATAGATTATTTTGCAAGATACATTGGTATTCCAAATATTGCTCACCAATCGAACTGAGACTTTAAACACAAAGTGAAACGGAAATTAGTTATTCAGATCTCAATTGAAGAACTAATAAATATGAAAAGTTAAGTTTGATTTTGGAATTCAAAGGAAGCAGGTCCGATTCACTCTGAAAGAGAGATTTTTGGATATGTTACTTCTAATTTACAATTTTTTTTGGAACCTGGATATTAATTATTTATTGAAATAGTGATTCCAGGTCAGAGGGACTTTTAGAATTAATAATTTCGCATAGATTTTCTTATAACCGTGAATACAATTAATTTTGTGTAGAATACACATTTGTTAAGATATTTTGGGCATAGATAAGTATTCCCTCAATGGACTACGTTCCTAGACACGGTTACCAGTAAAACACCAAAGTCAAGCATCACTGGCTGCGCTTAGTAAACGGGTGGGTGACCACTTTGATCAGCCTGCGTAAGAACCAAAGGTACGCGGTTTTGATCCTCGTTCAACTTTACTCGACTTCAAGCGTAGGGCATCGGGTTACCAAAGCAGAGAATTTATCCCCTGTGCAGAACATTGTGACGGCATGACTTGGGATTATCTTCAGGGATGTTTCCCAGATCGTCGCCAATAGCTTATTGCCATCCGAGGTGGCTCAGGGGATAGAGCACTTGCCTACCAATGAAGTGACAAGGGTTTGAATTCCAGCGATGGCTGGTCGATGCGAATTCCACACCCTGCTCGCACCGACCACAGTGCTGACGTAAGTGGTAGACTGATAATAGTTTAGTCTCCTTTGGGCATCAAGCTAACAGTTGGAGATTTTCGTGGTTTTCCTCTTCATGTAACGCAAATGCGTATTAGTTTCCCAAAAAGTCATCTTCAAAGGTAAATTTCTCCACGACAGCCCTTGTCTTTTGGGATCAGAACGGTCATACCCTTTCACCATGTAAAAGTTCATGCGTGCATTTCTGTCGGCTACACAGGCTACATTATAATCCTGTCATTCACATTAATAATACAGCTATACCCATTGCTGAGGAAACAAAAATTTTTGGGAGTAATTTTCGACAAGAAGTTGACATTTGAGTCTCATATCAAGCAGTTACGAAAACGTTGTGAGAAAACTATGAACATGTTACGTGTCACTTCAAATACGCAATGGGGTGCAGATGGTATCCCCTTACTACGGATATATCAGGCACTTATACTATCACGTATTGATTACGCTTGTTCAGTATATGGCGCTGGCACTGCTTCTAATTCCTAGATGTTTCCTAAATATTTGATCGATAAATATATTTATTAATTTCATGCTTCACGTGGTGGACAAAACAGTGGATTTTTCAAAAGCTTAATAATTATCTTTTTATGTTCGTACTTTCAGTTTAGTACATAGAAAGAAATCGTGTATTCTTTTTACACTATCTGGTTGAAAGTGTCTAGATTTTTGCTTCATCATGATGAGGGGATATTTCTGTTGATTGGGTTTGGTACCCTCAGTTCGTGTGGTTGAAAATATGAACTCTGAGATGTATGTCGGCATTTTAGACAATCATGTTTCCATGACAATATTTCGGGGAAGGCCCATTTTAATCCGGCTGGTTGACTGCTCCATTCACAAGCAGAGACGGGCGCAGCCATGGTGTGACGAAATAGGAGTTCAAAAACAGAACTGGCTTTCTGAAAGTTCTGATTTAAATTCCATAGAACACCGGTGGTACGAATTAGAACGCAGATTACGTAGCCAGCCAAATCCACCATCCTCAATACCAGAACTAACTTCAACTGGACGCTTGGAGCTCGGAAGTTAATTGATTCACTAGTTAAAAACTGATGGAAAGCTCCTCCATCTATACAGAAGGAGGATCATCATCATAAATCAGGACTCTTTGGGTTCGTATCCCAGTGTGCTCCGACACTTTTAGCCAGACAGAGTATTGGTATGATAATTAGTTTGTTTCTTATGTTGAAGAAGAAGAGTTAAAGTTTTTATACACTATTTTATCTTACCTGGCTGACAGTCATCGATGTTAATTTCACACTGTTTTCCAGAAAACCCCTCTGGGCAGGAACACTCGTATCCTCCTGGTACCACTTTGCAACTTCCATTATTTAAGCAGTGATCCTCTTCGCAATAATACTTTGTCTCTTCACAATTTCTTCCGAAGTATCCCAGACTGCAGATGCACGAATAATCATTTCCCACTGGAACACACTTGGAACCATTTGCGCAGGGGTGCTGTTCTTCGCAAACATTTATAACTAACAAGGAATAAAATACATCTATCATTTAGCACGATTAAGCTCGAATCATACATTAAAATGGTTCGTGAACGAGAAAAAATTACCTTCACAATTCCCTACAGAGCCTTTCATTCGTGTGCTAGTGCCATTGGGACAAATTGTGCAATTCTTTTGTTCACTGTGAGGTTGATAAAATCCGAAATCACACGGAATGCAAGGTTCTAATCCTGTATCTGAATAAAATCCCGGTTTGCATGAAACTAAAGGGGAAAAAAATCATTATATCATTAGTTTATGCTATTATCAATGGTATAATTAATTAAAAAAGCATGAATTTATGAGCGTTACTTAATTAAAAGTGATCCTATGTGTGATCAAGTTAAAAATATAGCAGCGATAGTAGCGCTGCTATTAAGGTTTATAAAGAAATGTATGGGAGTGTACCGCAGATTGCTTATTACTGTTAAACTATTTCACGTGAAAGCATTTAAAGTGGATGTAAATTCGTTCTAAAGATAGATGCATCCAGAACAGAACAAATATCGTACAACATTTAGCGAGATAAAGTGATTGCACTGTTGTTTTACTTCAGTAGAGTGCTAAACTGATGTAAGGAATCGTAACTCTTCGATTACCCAGAATCATTTCATAAACTACAGCAACGGATTAATCTGAGATCCTGGTATTTGTTTAAAGCCATAAGAAGTTGGAGGTTAAGGGAACAAATTCGAACTAAAAAATATTTTGGAATAACAAACTGGCTCGTGTAAACATGAATAAATAATTCGTAATCATTTATAATTCCCTTACGTTTAATATAAGCCAATTTCTTACTTAAATCCATTTCAAACATATGTGCAAATTAAGTTCTCCCGCCAAGTTCGTCTCCTTAATGTACTGAAGTAGTTACTAAATTCTAAAGTTGTGTATAGCCACTATATTTAAAAATATGTAGTTGTAGTTAACTACGTTTGTAACAAAGTTGTTGTAGTCGTTGTAAACTACAAAGATAATGCAGTTTTTCGAACAACTGCCCTAGATTAATGTAACTCGTGTAATTATTAATGTAAGTCAAACGTAGAAGCTAGATAAATTTAAATCGCATCGAATGAAGAAAATAAACATCACTTACTTGTACAATCCAATGAGCTGTTAGAGCCGACTTTCCATGTTTGCAGACCATGCGGGCATTTGGCGCACTCTTGACTTCTTGGTGATTCTTGAAAAGTGTTGAGAGGACATGGAAAGCAAGGCTCAAATGAGGTTTTGGAATAATATCCGGGAGGACAAGGAGCTTAACGGAGAAAAATAATTTATCGTAAGTAACTTAGATCATTTACAAGCAACGATAATGCTATTGTGAATGACAGAAACGGGTGGTTGTTGACTTCCACCGGTAAATGTTAGCAGTGACATAGTCGCTTTGGTGAAGGCCCTAAATATATACTAGGTCTAGTTCAGTACCACTGCCCGGTGTACCCTACATCAATGTTTTTTTAAGGTTAAGTGCCATTGCCCGGTCTGCATTTAACCGATACTCCGAACACTGTTGTTTCTCCTAAGCAGATCTATCCTCAGCAGACATTAATATAACGAATAAATATAATGATACCAACGAATAAATTACTATCGAATCGGAGGTAACAAATATTTCCCAAGCGACTATGTGATTGTTATTCACGGTAACTATATTTTGTATGAAACTGAATAAAGTAGGAAATTTATTTCCATTTCGTCAATTAAAATAAGGGCAATTGACCTACGGATAGCACAATTGCCCTTCTTAATTGAGCACAGGATATTTGACGACATTCATTTTTCTACCAATCGTATTTTCACTGCACACTTAAAAAGCTCTTCTCGGTTAAAATTTCTGTGAGGCAGTGTTAAAAAACTTTTAAATTGATTTTGAGAGAGTAAATATTTAAATGTGAGGTATGAAATGGCGTACAAAGCACACTTCGTAATTTTACTTAGATTCGTTTAATTTTGAAGACAGAATCAAACATTTGAATGGAACGGTCGTTACATATGCGTACCTTCTTCATTGTTTAGGAGCCTTCTGATTGAGCAGGAAAAGATTTCAGATGTTCTCCGGCAACGGGGTCTTTCTGACCTGGTGCAGACTTTCCTACACCAGGATGATGAGTAACAAAAACTGTTCCTGTCTAATTTTATACACTTTATATCTTATTAACCTACATATCGTTTTAATTTATTTTGTGACATTTTGTATCGTATTAACACTTTTATCTGATTTTATTCAGTTTTGAATGTTAGGTACTTTTTTTTTTAACAATTTCGTGTATTTTAATAGAATAAATTTGTACTACTACATACACCGAAGAGCCATTAGATTATGACCACCCGGCTAATAACATGTAGGACCACCTTTAGCCCTCAAAACTGATAGCACCCGCCGTGGCATTGATTCCACAAGGTGCTGATAGGTAGGGATTGTTCTATGAGGATTATAGGCCCTAATGTGCCCCATGAAAACATTGTTCCTGGGCGAGCCTATTGTTACAGATGGAGGGTGGTCATAATGTAATGGCTTTTCGGTGTATATTGCCCCTTTGATTTGTTTTAAAAACCATTTGTTTGGCGCAGCATGCACCTTGAGGCATTAAACTTTACATTCAATTCAATTCATTTCCTAATACTGTACTCTCATGTATAAACTGAAAAATGGTATATCTATTTAAGATAGATACCTACAGTTGAATGAAAAAGGTTACCTTTGCAATCCCTGAAAGATTTGCTTCTTGTCTGGTAGGTAGTGTACCCAACTGGACACGGTAAACAATATAATAATCCTTCCTTCTCCTGGTAAGTAGAAGCTGGACAATCCATACAAGAGTCACTGATATCATCTTTATATGTACCGGCTGGACAGTTAACTAAAATAATAAATAGAATGCAGATAGTCCTTATAAAAGGTACACAGTTAAAAATGAGTACTCAAATGTCACGAAGCCGTTTCCTGGTAAATGCTTCGAAGGAAGCTTTCGTCAAAGTGTCGAAATAACTATCGACACTTCTTCGAGGAAACGAATGTCGTCAAAATTAAAGAAATATTTCGTCATTCTATTTTTTCCGAAAAAAAGAAGGAAAAAAAGTCTCGAATGATCATTTTATCGATAGGTGGGTCAATGTCACCCAAACAACTCAAGAAAGGCTGATAGAACAAAGAGATAAATGACACGCATGCGCGAAGTGGGATTCGAACCCGGGATCTTCATAGTATGAGGCAAACTCCTTGACCACCATACAGCTTCATCGTGACTTTAATTTAGAATATCTAGTCTTCATTCTTGTTAACAATCTCCCACAATGCACTGCGATGAGGTTTCGAGTTGAGGAAATACATATTTTCCTCGTATATTAGAGAGTTTCGCGTTTCGTCACAAATGACTTGATATTGTGACGAAATGATTCTCAAAATTCGCGAAATTCAACTTTAAGATTGCAGTTTTATTTCTGACAGTGTATTAAGCATCCTTAGTATTTATTAGTTATAAATCTTTTTTAAAAATGTGTGTAAAAATGTAAGTGCATTAGGGCTCACAAACTAATATTTGAGAAAAGAAGATACAAAAACACTATCGAATTATTAAGAGTCACTACTAAAAAATGCTGTGGGTTAAGACATCAAGAACCTGTTTGATTGTCGAAAAAGTGAGAAGTTGGAAAGAGATCAACATAAATAACACCAAGTTTCAACGGGACATCAAACTGGTTTTGACGCTTTGTTCTTTTTCACAAAAAGTAATTCTGCAGATTCTGATGATGGTTTTTTATGCAGTACGTCTCATAAATATGAATTCATTTTATTTAAATCCATAATAGAATCAAAGCAAGTGTAATTTCAATTTATGTCATCAATCATAAGTATCTTTGTATTGATCTCTTCAACTATTTATAATATTAAATAAGCATTTTAAGAAATCATTGAAATTATTTACTGACTACTTTTTATGATTTTTTTAAAAATATTATGAACAATGAAAAATGACAATTCTTTTTTGAAAACTATTTCCAACCCTACCCAGAAGTTAGTACCTATTAAATGCGGTTTTCTCTCAATCATAATTACACGCATGCGCGAAACGGGATCTTCCTGGTATGAGGGGGCGAAAACCTGGTTTATTGTAAGCTTGTAAGCAAATAAATAAGTACAATTACGGAAAAGCGTAGCAGAAACATAAAGTAAAAAAAAAAGAGGGGGAGAACACTCAGAATAACTTTTGATTTAGTGATCTGATTTTCACGATCTAGCAATCTTAATGCTTTGCAAGTGGGACCACGAATACGCGAACTAATTAGTGCAGACGATATTTTAAGTCACGAAAACAGGCACAGGAACTCACCTTTCTGCGCAAGCATACCGTCGAAAATCTAAATCCGTCGAAAAAAGAAATATTTTCGACGGATTAAGATTCTTGACTCTCAAAATATTTCTCAGAGCCGCCATCTGAGAAATAGGTAATGAGAACATTTGGTTCCCTTAACGTTAATTTTACTTTTGGCGTACCTAATCTCTAGAACTACTTAAGCAAAAAAACTTTTACATGCAATTATCAAATTCCTTTATCCAAAAATAATTCCACGCAAAAATATTTTTTTTGCAATTATTAATTATTTTTTATTATTTATTTAAAAATGCTAAAAAAATTGAATTAAGAGGTATATACGAAGTTTAACATCATTTTAAAGAATGTAACTTTAAGAAGAAAAAAATCGGAAATTCGAAAGAAATCGTTACAATAGTTTCTAAGAAATCAAACTTTAAATAAACAAATTAAAAATTTAAAACAAAAGAAAAAAAAAGTCGGAAATTATGGTACAGATTTTATACAAATTTTGCATTTTGGTATAAAAAATTACTTTTTTCAAAATATTCTAAAAACTTTTATACATTACAATTCAAATTGTTTTCGAATATTATTAAATAAAATAGATATAAATTTATTTTTTACGAGTTAAAAAAATAAAATTAAAATTTATTTTTTAAAATTTATTTATGAAAAAGAAATTTTTTTACGTAGAGTTATCTTTGGATAAGCGAGTTTTACAATTGTTTACCGAAATTTTCCAAAACCGCTTAAAATCTTTGGTGGCATGGCGAATGACGTAAAACGTAAAATGAATGTAAAGGGATTTACCATTTTTAGGTTCAGGAATACAAATCCGAAGAAAAAAGGTATGTTTATTCAGAGAAAGTATGTTTTTTGATCATGATTTAGTAACTTAAAATATCGCCTACCTTGAGGCCAATAGTCTTATATTAGCCTTATATTAAGTAACATATGTGAGGGCACCCCTTTAAACCATTAAGATTGAATCTCAATACCTTAACATCCGATAAATAGAACAAAAGTTATTCAAGGCGTACTGTTTCTTTCTACATTCGGCTCCCTATTATGTCTGCCATTATTAAGCTTTATCGCACATAAAATAATGCTTTTTTGCGTTAAAATTTGTATAACTATTAATATGCCTTAACAATTATTCCTGACTGTTCGGTTAAATATTGGCCATTCAGTATCCCCAATGCTGATTAAGAAACTGATACAAAATGCCCATAAGAAGAAAAACTACTGTTTTTCTTTTAAAAATAAAACGCATTTCCGACCTTTTATTTTATTATTATTATTTTGTTTTACAGTTTGAAAAGTTATTGTAACATTTTTAATCTTTTATTAGTTTGACATATTTTTAATCTGAAAAAAATAGCAAAAATTATGTATGGATTTGGATGATTTTTATTTAAATAAAAAATATTTTGCTAAGTAAGTGGTTTATTTTGAAACTCACGAGTTTTTTAGATGTTTGTCATCTTTAATTTACAGATAATTCATATTCATCAAAAGGGTCGATTAAAATTAAGAAAAAAGTTTAAGTAAAAAGCGTGTAAAAATTGGCTTTTTTGTTTTATTTATTTATTCAATTAATTTTTTTTTCTTTTTTTGCAACACGCTCACTAGATGCGTTTGAATTACTATGAGAATAAGTAGGGAAAAAAAAATACTTACTGCAGGTATCGTTAATCCTCAGTTGCCCTGCTCTGCAAATGGCTTCCAAGCGATAATTTATTTGCGGATTTTGGATGGATGGAATACTGTAAACTTCTCTCGCATTCTCTGATGCAACAGCAAGAACTTCTTCCAATATCTGATTCATCGAATTTGCGTCAATCTTTTAAAAGACATAAGGTATTTATTTTAAACTATACACACAGAACCACCCTCCACTTTCGGAGAAAAGAAAACTTATAGATATAGTGTGTCTAGGAATAGTAAAGTGGCTGCAAGATACGACTGCTAATAGTGCGACCTAATTAAAAACTAGCATTTTTAATCTTTTGAGCTAAACGAGATGCAGCAAAAAAAGAAATGAATTGCTTTTTTCTTGAAGTTGTGAAGAGTTAACAATTTATTAGGTGTTGATACCTTATATAAATTAATGTTAAGGAGAGAAGGCTTATAATTCGAATTCATTTGTTTCTAATTTCTTCTGAGTAATTCCTTTCTTTTATTTATTCTGATCTGACCTAAAATAAGATAATTAATTCTTAATTTCTTTAATTGCAACGGGACAAAATGACAAAAAAATTACTGGTTTTCTGTCTGTTTCTATTTTGAATGTGAAATGAGGCAAAAATAAATAGAGAGATCACCCAGAATAACGTTTATTCTAATGATTCCGTGCTAAGTGCTCCAGCTAAATAAGCTGACTTTAAATGTAGTAATTAGTGTTAACTATTAATTAATAATTATAAAATCACACACCAAAGCGTACTTTCCGTGAATGTTCACTGCGCAAAATTAAAAACGGTACACCCTGAGTAACTTTTGATATAATGATCGGATCTTTACGTTCTAGGACTCAGTCTAAATGGTTCGCAGTGATGACCTCAAATATGCTAATTAATTACTGCAGACGTTATTTCATTCATTAATAGTAGAAAATATTTTGAATTGCAAGGTATACAATTTTCTACATCATTTTTATTACTGTAATTTTACATAGAAAAATTCATACTATGAGAGAAATTGGTTGAATAGCTCCTGAGAAATTGAATTTTAAATATACGAAATTTTTAAATTTAAATTATTTAGGACTTCAGGGTGGTCCTTTTTGCGCACTGCTTATACCCTTTTTTTAAGACGGATTTAGAGTTTTTTTCATCGTTAATAATGAGAGGATCTGAAAAGTTTGATACTAATTGTTTAGTCTCTTCGAAAGTTTGGGATCCTGAATATTAACGCTTTTTACGTCATCTATGGAATATTTTCTGCAAATCAAGAAATTTTTTACAACAATAATAACATTTATTTATCCAAAGCTAATTCTGCTTAAAAATAATTTTTAATAATTGTTTATTACTTAGGAACATTTAATAATGGTTGAAAAAAAGCATTCCACATTTTTTGCAAAACTATGCAGTAAGAAATTTTTGAATAATTTTAGTAAATAGCTTAAATTTTAAAATAATAATAAATTTAAAAATTTATTGAATAATGATAAAAAAATTTAATTTTATAAAGTATGCCATATGTGTTATTAATTTGAAGTGCGTAATTTTAAATAACAAAATGTAAAGTTTGATCAAAATAGGCCAAGTAGTTTTTGAGTTATTTTAATTTTGATATCGTCGCAGTTTTAAATTTTTATTTCTCAATAACTGTTTGACCCATTTTTTTTCAAGTTTTATATTTCCTCTTGAAAAATTACCTAGTTAAAAATTAATTGATAAATTTGTTTACCTTACCAATCAAAATATTTTCGGTTATTGAAATAAAATTGGTTAAATTGTTTTGGTTCAATAAAATAATAAAATATTAATAATTTTTATTAAGAAACATTTTGTATGAAATTATTCTAGGATAAACGATATTTAGATTTCAATGAAAAACGTTTCCAGGTAAATTTTCTGAGACAGGGTGATATATGTAAGAAGGAAAATCCCCCATGTAGCATGATAAGTACCTAAATATTTGGGCGTGTACGTACCTGGATATTACCTAAATATTTACGTACGTAAATATTTGGGAAAAAAGGTAAAATCAATACCTTTCATAAGTAATTTAAATTATGTCTACTTTTACTACAATTTGACATTAAAGTCTTACATAAAGTTTTACAAAGCTTTATATAAGTGTTTAATATTGGTAAAATGGACAAAACATTTATGTCCAATCAACAAAATTTAAAATATCAAACTCTTTTTTTTAAATGTAGTAGAATAATTTTGATAAAATATACATAAATAAAACGAGTTTTTTTTTACAAATTTATTTACGTTAATTTTACTTATATTTCATATCCATTTTTACTATAAGTAAACCATTACGTTTCACGTAAACTTATGTTTTTAATATACGTAGACTATGATCCGCAAAACTAATGTCCGACCAACAAAAGAATTGACATAAATAATTAATACAAATTGCTTATGCTTTCTTACCAAGTAAAAAAATTTCGATAAAATATGCGTAAATAAAACTATATTTTTTTATGTATTTCTTTAAGTTAATTTTACTTAAATTTAATATCTACTTTTAGCTACAATTTGACTTTTAAGTTTGACGTAAATTTTACGTTTTTAATATGCGTATAATTCACACAAAATTAATGTAAAACAAAATTAATAACGACGTAAATAATCAATACAAATAGCGTACGCATTTTTTACCGAGAAAAAAGATGGCGATAAAATATACGTGAATAAAACGAGTGTTTTTTACGGATTTATTTACGTTAATTTTACTTATATTTGATATCCATATTTTGCTATAATTTGACGCTTAAGTTTTACGAAAATTTTACTTTTTTAATATGCGCATAAATTACACAAAATTAATGTCCAAATAACTGAGGAATTAACGTAAATAATTAGTAAAAATATCATAAATAAAAGATTTTCTTGCGCACTTATTTATGTTAATTTCACTTACTAGTGGGCTGCGCCCCCTGCTCACTGACGCTCGCCAACCCCCGAAAATTGCTACGCAATCTTATATGGTTTGCTTCGCAAACCAAGCTCGCTTCACTCGCTTCTAGCTTAGGTACAGTGCAAATGCACAAAATTCTAAGAATTCAAAACAATCATTCAAATCCATACGACAACCTTTTTTTTAAAAAAAATTACATCTTTTTAGTAAATACTAAGTCATTAAAATAAATTTGAATTCAAATAAATGACATGTAATTCGTTAAACCTATTAGAAATGTGCTGTAATCTTAAGATAAAATTTCTAAAACTGATATCCCTTTAAAAAGGTTAAAATTTTGGCTATAATTAAGTCTATTAAAAATTTAAATAAGANTTTACGAAAATTTTACTTTTTTAATATGCGCATAAATTACGCAAAATGAATGTCCAAATAACTAAGGAATTAACGTAAATAATTAGTAAAAATATCATAAATAAAAGATATTTTTACGCACTTATCTATGTTAATTTCACTTATATTTAATATCCATTTTTTGCAATAATTTGACCTTCACGTTTTTTTAGCGAAAGTATTATCTACGCAAAATTAATGTTCAAATAACGAAGCAATCAACGTAAATAATTTGCATAAATAGAGTATTTTTCTCCTTACCTAGTAAAGAGAAAAATAGAGTATTTTTCTCTTTACCTAGTAAAGAGATTTCGATAAAATATGCGTAAATAAAACTATTTTTTTTTTATGTATTTATATACGTTAATTTTACATACATATTTTGCCTGAATTTTTTTAGTGTAAAATCTCCTCAAAAATTTATGTTGCTGTTGTTGTTTCTAATGCAACATGCCATATTAGCAAGCCTGCTTGGTGAAACTGAGCAAATTTAAGAGTGTGCGTTTCTTGTTTTTCAGTGGCGCCATCTATAGCCAAGAATTCGACGAACAAAAATTTAAAATAATAGAAGCATTCTAAAAAAATTTTATAAACGTGCTTTTGATCTCATTTTTTTATTAAAACAATTAAGAAACGGAAACTTACACTATTCTCCACATTGTCATCCAATTCTACAGAGGGTTGCAATTTGACATCAAACGATATTTTTAGAAGATTCTCAGTACTTCTCTTACTTCTCTTCTTCCTTGAGATATCGGGTACGCATTCTACGCGTACATTTTCTGGAAGGCAACTATCAGCAGCGGGGCAGATAAATCCAGGAAGCAACATATCAAAAGGCTGCACAAATAGGTAAGTATTTCAATTTAAATAAGAATACAAATAAATTTAAATGGCAAATATTCAAAATGCAGAAAATTTTTAACCCACAAAATAGTAAAGGTGGACACCAACCAGAAAATTTTTCAAAATCCCAATTTTTTACTTAAACAGAGATCTGTATAACAAAAATTTAGGTAAATTGATGAAGCCTTTACAACAGAGGTGTCAAACTCAATTTTGCAGAGGGCCATATATTAAATTTAGTATATGTAGGCGGGCCAGATGCAAATAAAAAAAAATGTACTGAAATATTATAAAATTTGATTTATCTAATTATATAGTTTATAATATACGGTTGTTAAAAATCATATTAAAGTTATAAAAGATGGTAATTATTTTGAGCTCGAGGATCCAGATACCTGACTTCTCTTGTTTTTGACAAGCTCATTGATGTCCGGTTTCATATTTGTTATAATTTTTTTAAGAATTGATTGGAGATGTTCATTCGTAAGTCTTGCGCGATGTTTGTTCTTATTTATTTTCAGAACGGAAAACATCTGCTCACATAAATAGGTGCTACCAAACATGCACAGAATGCGTGCTGCATACTTTTTTAATTCCGGGTAGTTATACAACTCTTGAAATATTGTGTATAAAATGTAAGAGCGTTAACCTTTCTAAATTTTTCTTTCAAATTACTGTCCGATTGAAGATTTATCAACTCCATTTGCAAATGAACTGGTGTCTGTGAAGCTTCAAAATTGAATGGATTGTTGAAAACTGGGAATTCAGTTTCATTCATTTTGTGGAAGTCTTCAAAACGATTGTTGAATTCCGTGATCAGATTTTGCAGAAGTTGAGAATATTGATCCAATTTTTTTTTGGCTCACTGTGCCAAATGATTTTAAATGAGGGATGATCCAAAGTTTGATTTTTTACCTCATTTTCCCACAGCCTCAACTTTGTTTCAAAGGCTTGAATACATGAATACATTTGAGTGACAATCAGATTTTTACCCTGTAACTTTACATTCAGATCAGTCAAGTGTTAATTCATATCTACCAAAAAGGCACAATCAATCCACCAGTCATTGTCATAATCAATTGGGTTGCCATTTTCTAACATGAAAGCATGAATGGGGTCACGTAATGGAGATAATCTTTCTAAAACTACTCCTCGACTGAGCCAACGAACTTCGGTGAAATAAGGGACAATTCAAATCTTGTAAAAACTGCCTGAACTGTCGGTGATTTAGTCCTCTGCTCCTTATAAAATTTACTATTTTAATTATAAGTTTCATGACATGGTCCATTTTTAAATATTTGGATGCCAATGATTCCTGATGAGTTATACAGGGAAATCCCACAAAATTCCCTAATGTTTTCTGTTTTAATTTAGTTACAACAACCGAATATTTGCCACCCATGGCAGGAGCGCCATCCGTAGTTGGGCTGCTAAGTATATTCCATTCGAAGATTCCGCTTGTTGCTAAGAAATAGCGTGACTGTCTCTCTCTCTCGCTTGTCTAGGCACACACTGCCCGTGAAATTACTTATAAATGTAGTGTGCACATTTTAATCGAGTGAGGTCTATAAAAGCTCTAAAAAACACGATTCTTCTTTCTGTGACACATCGTGATCGCGGGCCGTATTGATACGAACCGGGGGCCGGATGTGGCCCGCGGGCAGTATCTTTGACATGACTGCTTTACAATTTATTTTATCGTAAAAATTTACCATTTTTAATTCATTTCTCCATAAAATTTTATTTTAACTATTACACTCACATTATAATTTATTTTAATTATTACACTCACAAAGTATTAAATTGCATCTTTCCATAAAATCACACCTCCAAGGGNGTATAACAAAAATTAAGGTAAATTGATGAAGCCTTTAATTTATTTTATAGTAAAAATTTACCATTTTTAATTTTTTTCTCCATAAAATTTTATTTTAACTATTACACTCACATTATAATTTATTTTAATTATTACACTCACAAAGTATTAAATTGCATCTTTCCATAAAATCTCACCTCCAGGGGCACTCACTTGTGTGACGGGCACGGGGCACCCAGGGTCCCAATTTGGACGTGAGCATACTTCTATTTCTCTCTTGCAACGATCTTGTTTTGAGATTCCGACTTTTACTAAATAATTGCTTTATAACCTAATGAGCGAACATTTTTTTTTATTTACTTTCATATTCTGGTTATCATTTAGAAATCATGTCGTCTTAGACTTTTGATTATCTCTTATTATTGTTGCGTTTATATATTTCTTACGTTTGTAGCACTTCTTTATTTGTTATTAATTTTTACCTTTCACATGTTTTTTTTTTCCTTTTAATTTTTTATAAATGTCGTTGAACAACCGACCCAATTTCGGATTTACCACAATGTTCAACTTCATAGTCTTGTGATTTTGAACCCAATCCAGAAGACAGGGGAACTCCTGCATCTAGTATTGGAAGGAATTTGCCTTCGTGGAGAACTCTTTGATAGAGTTAACCCGCATTCGCGTTACATGAAGGGGAAGACCACGAAAAACTCCCACGTTTAGTCTGAAGGCAAGGGGACTCTAACTCATGATCCGTCTATCAATGATGATATTTTACGTCAGCACTGTGGTTGGTGTGAGAAGGGTGTTGAATTTGTATCTACCAGCCATCGGTGGGATCCGAACCCGGTACACTTCATTGGAAGACACATGCTCTATTCCCTGATAATCCGTAGAATTTAATTCATTGGACCAATGAAAGGAATTAAAGAGCCTTAAAAAAACTTAAAGAATTACTTTGAGATTTCGAAGGAACTTTTTCTTCATCTTGTTGATAGCTTCTTCACTGCAATCATTGACAGGAAAGCTGAGATCGATTGAAGCATTCACAACATTCATCTTTTGTATTTCTGTGTGTGAAACGGTTTGTTTAGATTCAAATAACTAGACAAAAAAGATTTTTTTTTAAAGAAATTGACTCACTTGTGCAATCAGGTACGGGCATTTTAAATGATACATCTAGTAACTGGAATGGGACCCATTTTCCTGTTTTCGTCGAACTGCTGCCAGTCTGTAAACATTCGAACACAGCTGGAACATCTTCTTTAGAAGCAAAGTGATAACCCTCGTTGCACTGAACGCTGCATAAACGGCCCTGCTGCCATGTGTCACAAGTGACCATCCCGTTCAATGGACGTTTAAAATATGGACATGGATAGGCTATGTATAAAAACATAAGCACACATTTTAAATATTTTTATAGTTGTTACTGTGAATGACCGAAACGTTTGGTGGTTGACTTCTACCGGTGAATGTTGACAATTTCACTTTGGTAAATGTCCGAAATATATACTAGTTCTAGTTAAGTGACACTGCCCGGTATACATTTGCCCGGTATACCCAACACGGATGTTTCTCTTAATCTATCCTCAGCAGATATTTAAATATCGAATAAATATAGTAGTATCAACGAATTAATTAATGTCAAATCAGATATAACAAATATTTCGGACATTTACCAAAGCGACTATGTAATTGTTGACATTCACCGGTGAAAGTCGACATTCTCTTGATTTTGGTCATTCACTGTAACATAGTCATTTGAAATTTACGGTAAGCAGAATCAACTGTTTCAGGCTTTTAGAGTATGGTTTTTAACATAGTTTAAAAATCTGGCCGGATCTTACATTTACAATGATTAGAATGTTCGTACCTGAATTCAAAAGATTAATAATAACTTCAGTTTAATATATAATGATTAAAACTTATTAGAATTTAATCAGGTAACTTATTCAGTAATTCAATAGAGAAAAAAATTTCATTTTTGATACATTTTAAAAACCGTTTTGCATCAGTTGATACGCTTCATATTTGAATGTATGATTGAGGGGAACAGTTAATAGAAACCAGAGTCAAAATTTTTGATGGTTTCCCATTGATAAACCAACATAATCTTGACATGGTAACCATCATTAATTCCATCCTGAACTACTATATTTTTGATGGTAACCAAGATAAGTAAACATCATCCCAATGTAGGAATTCGGGCTGTTTTATGATGGTCCAACATAAAAATAGCAACTTGTATTAATGGTTTGCTCATAATAATAAGTGCTATAAGAAATTGCTATAAGAAATTTCCGTAGTTTCTTAGAAATAAAATGTTGGAACAATCAAGAACTACCATCAAAAATTGTTTTGATGGTATATTCTTGCTGAACCAGCAATAATTATTATTAAACCACCATGGACCATGACGAGTTTTCATCATAGTATCTTATAAATCAAATGTTGGAGCTATCAGGGACAACCATCATCCCAATGTAGGAATTTGGACTGATTTATGATGGTCCAACTTTAAAAAAAATAAAATTGGTTTGATAGTATATTCCTGAGAACCAACAGAATTCCCAGTAAATTATCATGGACCATCACGGATTGTTGGTCCATGAGAATCAAACGTCTCTTGATGGTTAATCATAATATTAAAGTAGCATTTTCCATCATGGAGTGATGGATTTTTGTTGGCATATGAAAAACCATGAACGCATAATATAAAATATTGAATGATGATGACCATCAAATGAGGTTGGACCATCACGAATCGCAAAAAATTTTGATGGTTTATGTTGGTTCCATCACGAATCGCAATGGAACCAACATAAACCATCAAAATGCTTTAAAAGAACCATCAAGAATTTTGACTACGGAACTCTTTAGTCAAAACTAGGCCAAAAACAGACGATTGCTACTGATACTATAAGCAAATTGAAAATTATTTTTACACATTCTAACTTTCCCATTTTTCAACGCGTGATTGATTCTTAGAATAATAAATAGACTCTTTATTGTTTCATTTTCAATGTAAGCATTTGCCTCAATCTTCGCATCAAAGAAATAAGTACTGCCTGTAGTAGTACAACGTTACGAGATGTGCTCGTTATTGAGTGTGAAAGAAAATCTTTTGTCTCCTTTGATGTTGAACTAGATTAAGGCAAAGATTTATATTTTGCTAATAAGTTCGGTTAACTTTTCTTCGCCACAAAATGAAAATCACGCGTTGTCTTAAACGTGCATTTGTTTTATTATTGTTTTTTATGCTTTGAGTTTATGAGTGATATCAACTTAACAAGCATTTTTACCAAAAAAGTTGTATAACTTGAGCTGTAAACCATCTGTCGAGAATTCCCACTATAGCTGTCTTCTGCGCATGTTGTTTTGGTGCGCCCACAGCGCCACCAGTTGATGTTAAGATCTCTATGATGTCGAGTGAGCTTTTTTAGCTCCGTAAATGATTGAAACTTAATTGTTATCTTCTTTTTGTTTGTGTTTTCTAATTCCGTTATTATTAAAGTGATTGTATATAAAACATGTTAGAGTCTTTTATAACTTTACAAATTGATATTTATTACCCTCTAACTAACAGTGGCAGTCCTGGAGAACGGCGTAAGTAGAACTTACCTTGATTCATAGAAATAGTTTTCTTCAGTTTTTGCTTAAAAATTGACACCATCTTTGATTATGTGAGCCGTGATGGTTCAGAGGATAGAGCGTCTGCATTCCAATGAGGTGTACCAGGTTCAAATCCCAGCAATGGCTGGTAGATACGAATTCCGCAGCCGACTTGCACCGACACAGTGTTGCCGCAAAATGTCCTCAGTGGTAAGCGAATCATGGGTTAGACGCTCCTTGCCGTTAGTGGTTTTCCTCTCCATCTAACGCAAACGCGTGTTAATTCCATAAAAAAAGTCCTCCACGAAGAAAAATTTCCTCCAATACTTGATCCAGGAGCTCAAAATTACAAGGTTACGGAGTTGAACATTAGTAGTCGTAAATCCAAAAAATTGAGTCGGCTGTTCAACCCAGGGCTAAAGAGAATAGAAGGGCTGGTTCACTCCTTTGAAGTATCTCTCGCCGCGCCGATCCTCCGACGTCACTCTAGTGACGTCACTTTGGCGCAAAGCTCACACTTTTACTTCAAGAACGGAGCAATTGGCCTTACTAGCTCTAACTAATATTGGATCATTTCTTTTTGCGAGATATTGTAAGGCATTTGTTATTTTCTATAATGACTTTCCTCAGTTTTTGCAGTGAATTTACAAGAATTTAAAACTATTATCGAAATGCCAGTTTGCGCGATTGCAACTTGCAAAAATTCTGATATAAAAACAAAAGGAAAAAGTATAATTTTTCGCGTGTTCCCTAAAGTAAATGAACAACTATGTAAAGAATGGATTCCGAAATGACACAGTTAATATAAAACAGCAATACGTTTATTCTGTCGTAAAGAACTTTTATAAAAATTCATTATCTAAATAGAAACCGCCTCGTTACTTCATAAAGAAAGGCAGGTGAAAAGAATTAAAAAATAGATAAAGTCAAAGAAAATTAAAATGTAAGTAAAAAGTATAAATAAAATATATAGTATATAGTTGAAATTCTCCTAATTTCATAACATATTTTTTAATGTAGTTATTCTAAATATTTATGATTTTTTTTAAAAATTATATTCTCTTCAATTTAAATATCTATAAATTATATCATCGTAAATTTAAATGTCTATAAACAATTGTAAAATTTCTAATGTCATTATGAACCTAAATTATTATTTTGTTTCAGTAATTAGCGTTTAAGGTTGATGTTTCCTAATGATTAAGTATGAACAAATTGCTATTAACGACATATTTTAAAATCAGGGATTCTAAATTTAACTTAACTTATCTTTATAAAAGAATATGTAGATAAAAAAAGTGTCGATATATGCCTTCATTTTTCTTAATAGTTAAAGTTAAAACTGAACTTTTTAAAATAAAGTATTTATCGTGTCATTTTCACCAACTAGCAAAACATTTTTATAAGTTTAAAATGGTATTTTTTTAATATAATAACCAAGAAAGTTTTTTTTGAACTATGTTTATGAACGGAAATAATGTGTTAATTACGTAAAGTTTGAAGGCTAATAACCAGAAAAAGTCTAACTTATTTTTACAAGAGAAAGATGCAAAGTTATCATATCTTTGCTTGCGATCTCCGAGATCTGTGGACACAGTGACGTCATGAGGAGGGAAATCGTAGCTTCAGTTCTAAGAGCGGAGTGAACTAGCCCTTGTATTCTCTTTAGCCCTGGTTCAACCACTGTTATAAAATAAAATTAAATAAAACGTTGCTAACTCATCAGTTGCAAGTAGAACTTTTTTTCTTTGTTTAGTTAGTTTTATTATGCAGTGAAAATTCCCTTTTTAGATTTTTAAAAACAATTCGTTTGCTAGACTTTTAAATCTCAACTTGATTTTTAAACGTCTTTTTAACCTCTACCTTAATTGTGGAGGATTTTCTAAAATGCACTTACGTTTTACAGTCACTGTAAAGTTGCAGTACGCTTTATTCCCTGACGGGTCTGTAACATTGTAGGATATTACATCATGTGATCCCCATGCAAATCCAGTACCGCTCTTCTTATTTGGAGGTGTCAAAGTAAAATTTCCAGAATTATCCTGATTAAAATAAAAAACAGAAAAAATGGAAATAAGTAAATTATATATGCTCTGATAACAACAGATTAAACTCACATGAATTACATTTCTCAGAATACGGTTATGAATGTAGTTAGTAAGATGGAGTCTTATACTTCAAGGTTACATTAAACTAAGTATGAGTTTGCAGTAACTTTACTAAGGTGCAACCTTGTTTCCATAGTAATGCAAAATCAAAATGTATGCAAATGTGCTTCCATTTTCCCAGCACAGGAGTTCGTTTGGATCGGAGATAAATTTTAACAGGTATTTAGACTGGAGCTTTGTATTGGAAACTATCTAAAAATGTAGCTATTTGCAGCACTCAATTACATATCAAATATCAGTGCTGTACTACAAAATACAAGCTTCAAAACCTCCGAAGGTCCGAACGCTACTGCAATCACAGGCAAAGCCACGCTCTTGTTTACAAAGGCCTAGCGACGAAATCCCGAAATTTTCGATACAATTCCAGACGATTCTCGTATAACTCAGTAAATATCGGTGTTATCGCTTTGAAACTTGAAGCTTCCAGAATTATTATTTTGATACCAAAATGGTCATATAATCACCAAGTAGTCCAACTGTCGCCAATCAAATCTTTCGTAGGAAATACGTTCGCGCTTTTTTTCGAAGCTCTGTCGCCAAGGAAAAAAAAAACCATAGTTTAAGTGCCTTACACTTGAAGTGATGTGATGATTTCAAACTATATATATAATTTTGCCGTGAAGAATTATCTAAGCTTTAGAACAAGCAAAAAACTTAAATATTTTAAAAGCATTAAAACTTTTTTAGAGATCACCAATTTGGCGAGATTTTCCAAGTTGACGAAAATTATCAAAAGTATTGCCGTATTCCCCGTTTTGGCTTATTTTTATAAGCCCAGGTAATGCAGCACTGGAGTAAGTTTTTAAAGATTAAAAAAATTAGACCACAAACGCTTTTTATTTTCACAAAACTGTGGCTCTTCTCCATATCGACGTTTTGCGCTATTTTTGAAATAAGCGTAGACAGCGCTGTCTTTAAAACTTTACTTAAAACTTGACCTAACAGTCTAGAGTAACAGTTGCAAACTTCCAGCAGTTTTAAAAATAGCATATTATTCTCCAAAAAGCATCATTTCATATTACGATGGAACCTTAGCATTATATACTCTCTTAATTACGATAGAATTATACTATTTTCTTGCAAAATTTCTTATTAAACTGATTATTTAGGGTTCGTTTGAGATATTTAGAAACATAAAGAATATTCACAAAATTATACAAATATTTACAGGTTCGTAATATGATTGTTTAACACACTTTACACTTAGCACACTCATTAGAGCTTTCAAGAAGATAAAGCGTCTAATCGTGGAACATACAGAGTACAGTGAAAGTACATATTCTGTTTCGTTTCACGGACATACAAAATTTCAAAATTTTTCAGCGGGAAAGAAAGCAAATATGTTGTTATACGTGAAAGTAAAATAACTATTTTATATTTCAGTTACAATTGCTTTTCTAGGTTATTTGAAGTGATTCGGTAACTTTTAGCACATTTATAATAATTATACTAAAAACATAACAAATAAAATGCATTATTCATTTTATTTATGTAAATATGCGCAGGCCGGCTGTATTCGAACGTGAGTTCGAATACAGCCGGCCAAAAACTCCCGGTGTAGTAAATGGTGACTGGTGCACGTTAAATCTGTCGGGTCACCAATGTCCTCCGCGTTCTCATATCAAAATAAACCTCTGGGGGTGCTGAATTGGAGATGGATCGTTCTCTGGTTCAGGTCAAAATTACGATCTGTGAACAAATGAATGGATGCATAAATGGCTCCGCCCTATAAACAGGCGTGACGTATGTGTGTGGCAGAACTCGAATTCTTAGCCATAGATGGCGTCACTGTGAACAAGAATAGTCTCACCCCCTCTGCTTAATGGTCAACGGCAACAACTACAAGGCAATACTCACATTAAATACTGGTTCATTCCAGCTAACAATCATTTCAGCGTTGTTTTCACTGAATAACTCTATATCAGATGGACAGAATAATACTGATGGAGGCTCTTTATCTAAAATAGAATTATTAAGTAATGTATTTTCTGCTTAATAACTCATAAGAATACATTTGATTTATATTATATCGCTTGACAAAACGTGTATTTACATTTTATTTTGTTTTATAACGTCTGTTGAAAGGCCGACCCAATTCTAAGTTTAAGACTATCAATTTTCAACTTCGTAGCCTAGTAAGTTTGAACCTAACCCAGAAGGCAAAGAAATTCCTGGATCAAGCAAACTAGCCTTCGTGGAGGACTTTTGATGAAACTAACCTGCATTTGCGTTACTTGGAGAGGAAAAGCTAGAAATCCTCTCACGGCTAACCAGACGACATAGGCATTCCGTCTACCACTAAGGGTATTTTGCGTCAGCATTGTGGTCGGTATGATCCGGAAACAGAATTCATATCAACTAGCTCCGCCTAGTATTCGACTGGCTCACCTCCTTGAGAAGTTAATGCTCAAGTTGTACCCATAGTTGCGAAACAGATTATAAACTATTACAGGACAAACAAGCTTCAATAAATTCACTCAACAGCTTTAAAATTTCTTTTGTTTTGAGCCATGATGGTTCAGAGGATGGAGCGTTCGCCTTCGAATGAGGTGAGCCGGGTTCGAATCCCAGCGATGGCTGGTCGATTCCAAATTTCGCATCCGGATCGTACCGACCACAATGCTGGCTTAAAATATCTTCCTTTGTAGACGGATCATGGGTTTGAATCCCCATGTCTTCGATTTAACCGTTGGAGGTTTTCGTGGTCCTCCTCTCCATGTTACGCAAATGAGGGTTATTCCATCAAAAAGTTCATGACGATGCAAATTTCTCCCAATGCTTGATCTAGGAGTTCCCTTGTCTTCTGGATTGGGCTACGGAGTTGAACATTAGTAGTCGTAAATCGAAAATTGGGTTGGCTGTTATCGGCAACGTCGGTTAAATCTTCTAACACATTTTAACATAGAAAGAAAGAATAAGATGGCGGTTGGCGGGAGGCAGCGTGCATGAAGAGTTGTCCAACAGTCGCTTCACAGGTGACGTACCTAGTGACTGTGCTTCTTGTGCGCATGCGCTGGATCTTAGTTCAAATGACACTCTGCTAAATCTGAGTATGTTGCTCATCCTGTAAGTTGTTTTTCTGGTTTAGCGTTCCACACCAAGTAGAGTCAGTTACGAAGAGTTGGACTTCTTTTCCTTTCAATATTCTTTGACAAAAAGAATGAAATTTAATCAGTCAAATATTTTCCATTCTGTTCGATAAGTTTTTGTCATGATTATGGTAATATTTAAAACTTACAGAACTTTAAGTGAGCAAAACACCATACTAAGATTTGATTTGAGATCTTATTAATGAGATTTACCATTTAAAAAGTTTTGGAATAAATGATAATTCGATAGAGCTAGGTCGTGGTATATGGAAGATGCGACATAACTTCTCAATCAAGATCCAATAATTTCATTAAAGTTTGTATGAAGTAAGAACTACCCTAGGCATTCGTCTAGACCTATGGCAGTGACTATGGTAACGAGGTATAACTATTTCAAGTAGGGGTGTAGGGTCATTGCTTAGGACGGTTTTGGCTCGGGTCCTTGAGAGAAAGGGAATCTTTTTATTCGGTCTATTGTATTAGCCCCACAGTGAAGAGAAGCTGCCCTCCCTGAAATGCGAAATTCTTGTTTACATGGCAGCAGACGTCCTCAGACTTTGGGGGGGGGGATTTCTTACCGTAGACAAACTATACGTGTTGCTGTGATAGGACGTGAGGGAACTTCTTTTGCTATTGTGATCCCTTACATGCGCCATCGTGTTATGCCAACGTTTTTAAAAATGGTACTGTGATGATGCTATCACAATGCCCTCAGTTTTCAACCTTTTGGCCTGCGCCTAAATTTCTAATATTACTTTTATGACTGAGCCTTGCACCTTTAACTTATCAATCGTAACAGCCAGCCCAACTGAATCAGTTGCCAGAATGGACTCTTATATTCCATCATTGACTCTACTTGAGAAACGAGCAATCAAAGATTTGATTTCCTTCTCTTGATGCACATAAAGTAAAGGTTATTTTTAATTGTTCCTGTTTTACCATGCATTTATGCAGTTTAGACAATCCGGTTTTTTCAGGTAATCAAGTTTTTTTTAAAATAAATTATGGATCCAGAACATTTTCTGCTGTGTTCTTAAATTTCCAAACATATGGAGCGCATATAAGGCTCAGAAGAATTCTGACCGGCAAACCTGATTTTTCGCCTCTTTCGGCCAACTCGGGAGACATTGCAGGAAGCAGCTATCAGCAGGACCTATGTCCAAGTGGCCTTGGGTTCGATCCTCTCCAGCCGAAGATTCCCTGTGTAGTAAATGGTAACTGATGCACGTTAAATCTGTCGAGTCTCGAAGTCCTCCACGTTCCTATAACAAATCGTACCTCTGGGGGTACTAATCCAGGAGTTTCCTTGTCTTCCGGATTGATTCAAAATTACACGGCTACGGAATTGAACATTAGTTGTCGTAAACCCACAAATGGGTCGGCTGTTCAACGACGGTTATAAAATTATAAAATAAGATGGCTTGAGCCATTATGACTCAGGGGATAGAGTTCCCTTTCAGTGAGGCGAACCGGGTTTGAATTCCAGCGGTGGTTTAATTCTTTTCACTCAGCTTTTTGATTTTCATGAAGAGAAAAAAATCTGCTGAAGCTGTAGTAATCTGCAGAGCACTAGAGAAATAACTTCTTATTCCACAGAAGTGCCGTATTACAGTCAAACCCCGCTATAGTGAACCTTCAAGGGACCGAAATTTCGGTTCACTATAACCAGGTTTTCACTATATCCGTACTGCAGACAATTTTAACTAATTTTTCCGAACTGCTCCCTTTTATGACACATTATTTAAATAAATGACTCATAAAAAGAATGACAAAAATGATTAAAAAACAATATGTAGTAACGAAAAATGAGTTAACTTTTATTTTTTATTACTCTTCGTCTTACGGACAAAAAATCTAGGAATGGGAAACTGAGATAGAAGAAGCAAACAAGAAAAAATGCTTATGGCTACATTCCAATCAATAGATGGTTTTATAAATCGGTATATGTATTTTACATAAAAATTTCTAACTTACCAAAAAATGAAGAAAAAAAATCAGTCAAAGACTGAAAAAAGATCATAGAATCCAATTTCCTATCTTCATTTGGCTCACTATATCCACAAAAAATAATATTATATGTGTATAGCAAGACACTGGAGTAAACATTTCATTCACTTTATCCGGGAGTTCACTATAAACCATGTTCACTATAGAGGGGTTTGACTGTAGTTGGAAGATATGGATTGCACTTACAGTTACGTGCAATGTATATGTTGCAGTGAACTACCGAAATCAAGAGAATGTCGACTTTCAAAGCTGAATGTCAGCAATTACATAGTCGTTTTGGTGAATGTCTGAAATATTTGTTATATCCGATTTGATATTAATTTATTCGTTGATATTATTATATTGATTCGATATTTTACTATCTGTTGAGGATAGATTAGAAGAAACAGCAGTGTTCGGAGTACCGGTTAAATGCATACTGGGCAGTGGCACTTCACCTTAAAAAAACATTGTCGTAGGGCATACCGGGCAGTAGCACTGAACCTTAAAAAACATTAATGTAAGTCATACTGGGCAAATATATACCGGACCGTGGCAATTAACTAGATCTATTATATATTTCGGACATTTACCAAAGCGACTATTTGATTGTCAACTTTTCACCGGTGGAAGTCAACAACTACCCATTTCTGTCATTCACAGTAACCTATGTACGAAATAGTTCGCTGAAACATTAAGTAATGATGTTTTTCGAAAATTTAATATTTTCAAGGGTAAACAGCACTTCATGTGGATGTCTTCTTTCGTTAAAAACAATAATAATCGAAGAGTCGACAACTTACCGATAACAGTAACGTTAAATGAACACGTGTTTGTCAGATTGACGCTGTCCACTGCTTTATAGACAACCTTCGTAGTGGAAATAGGGAAAGAATGCGGCATCTTCCTTATGTGTCTGGGCTCTATAATATCCACGAAACTGACGAAAATATTGTCTTGTGCGACGGGCAAATCCCAAGAAACAGAGGCAGTGCTTTTGGAAAAGTCCGTTTTAACTGTTATAGATTTAGGACAATGGATAACAGGTGGAGATACATCTAGAATAGAATACTTAAAAATCATATAAGATAAAAAATGCTCTATTATTAAATATGTATCCCGATCACCCTTCAATTACATATTTGAATGGAATAATTCCGCGATAATACATTTTGTCCCCAAAAATTCTAAAAGCCATCCATTGAGATAGAACAGTGTTTCCCAAATGTGGTACACGCACCCCTAGGGGTACGGGAACAATTTAGCGGTGGTACGCGTTCTTATGCAAAATATCTTGCAACAAACGAAAATTTCAACAAATTTTATTTAAGAACAAAGCTAGCCATGAAAATTTACGATTACATATTTTTCTATTAGCTATTTTTTTCAGAGTTAACAGCTAATAATGAGTGTTGTCAACAGCCAGTTGTGATTTATAACTTTTGTGCAATTTTTTTATAGTAAAAAATACATTCATTTTTTTATTAGTGGTGCACAGCGTTACGAAAAATTTAGAAGGGGTACACAAAAGTCATAAGTTTGGGAAACACTGAGATAGAAGATCGCGAATTATTTCGAGTATTTAAAAGGTTAGAAATATGAGACCGTAACTATCACTGTTAATACATATTTTTAATAATATATGTTAGTTTTAATGTGCATGCTCAAAATTTAAAAAAAAAAAAAAGAAGCGTAAACTCTGAATAACATTTGATCTAATGATCAGATTTTCACGTACTTGAACTCATCTTAATGANTTTTTTATGGTAAAAAATACATTAATTTTTTTATTAGTGGTACACAGCATGACGAAAAATTTAGAAAGGGTACACAAAAGTCATAAGTTTGGGAAACACTGAGATAGAAGATTGCGAATTATTTCGAGTATTTAAAAGGTTAGAAATATGAGACCGTAACTATCACTGTTAATACATATTTTTAATAATATATGTTAGTTTTAATGTGCATGCTCAAAATTTAAAAAAAAAAAAAAGAAGCGTAAACTCTGAATAACATTTGATCTAATGATCAGATTTTCACGTACTTGAACTCATCTTAATGAGGCAAAGGCCTAATCTTATATATGGTAAGTATTGAGTGCACACTATGTTTGAAATCAGACACAGAAACGTGTTTTCTCTGAATGAACATGCCTTTTCTTCGACGGATTCTCGACCCTCAAGATATTAGAAGCAATCGTAATATGGAAAACATGATCTAAATCAGGGGTTTCCAACTTACATGAGGCCGTGGGCAGCAATTAAAAACGCCAGTCAAATGGCGGGCCGCAACCTTATCAACATTTTATATAGGACTCTTTTATGTTTGAAGGAACTTCTGTCAGACTTTTGTCAAGTTGTACAAAACAAAAGTATTGAATTACAAATTAAAATAAGATGTACATTTTTACCTGAGAAATAAATTTTTTTGTATCGTTTGTTATGTTAAATTTCACCGAAACGCAGAAATTAGGTTTTTAACAAAAGAAAAGTACTTTAAACCCATATAGAATTTTTACGAAAATTGTTCGCAAAAAAATGACAACGAATGAATTTTAGTTCGCGGGCCGCAAAAAAAAGAAGGCTTCGCGGGTTACCAGTTGGTAACCACTGGTCTAAATAGTTTGGTCCGATCGAAAGCTTGAATGGCCTTAATATTAATTTTACTTTTCGTGAATTTCGCCATTTCTCTAGGAACTTTTCAAGTGAATCGGAAACATTTTACACACAATTATGAAATTCATTTATCCAAAGATAGGTTATAAAATATTTTTATCTATGTAAAATATTATTTTTAATAACAATTTTTCTTGTCTTATTCAATAACAGTCGAACATTTTTATTTAATAACCGTTTTGAATTGTAAATTATATAATTCTTTACATTAATTTCGCGTGTTCATATTCAAATTTTAAAAAAATCGGTAAAAAAATCTTAAGATATAAAATTTAAAAAAAATACTACGTTTTAAAATTGGATAACTCAGGAGAAAAGACCCTCCCCCTCTTCTCTGTTGTATAAGGTATAGGTTCTAAGGAATGTACTACGATATTTTCCAATATTTTGCAAAATTTCCACGACGCTTTCTTTTAGAACTATTTTCATTGTAGTTTTCAGTTCCAGACAATTTCCTAACTTAAAAGTTTTTTAATTCATTTGAAAATCAAGGGAGAAACGTATTTCCTTCTCCTATGACTCACCACATGGTAATGGTGAAAGCATGCGAAGTGTCGTCATAGATAGAGAGTGCTGCCACCTATAGCCCATTTCGATCTCCAATGCAAGGAGTACTGGGTCCAAACTTTCGACCCCTCTCTTGAGCAAATTATTAGGGTCAAGTATTCCAGTTCCCGTCAATTTTGAAGGCTAAGAATCCGTCTAAAAAGACTTCAGAGAAAATATGTTTTTGTGTCTGATTTAGTTTCTCAAAATAACGCTTGCACTCATTCATCAACGTAATGAAGAGGACGCCATAACGTGGAAGAAAATTTCTATCACGAATATTTTTTTTTCTTTTATTATTAATTTAAAATTTAAAGTGTAGATAAAGTGAGTTCAGACTAACCTAAAGTAAGGTATGAAGTTTCAAATGCTGAGATGAAAATTTTAAAATATACGAATGAAAATAAATGAGAAGAATGTATCTTTGGATTACGCAACGGAGAAGTTCCCTTCTAATGATTGTTTGTATTGTAATAGTTTAAAGTATTTTTTTTTCAGCTATTGAAACTTCATGACTTACTCTAGATTCGCTTGAACTCAATTTTTTTTCAGCTATTGAAACTTCATGACTTACTCTAGATTCGCCTGAACTCAATTTTTTTTTCAGCTATTGAAACTTCATGACTTACTCTAGATTCGCCTGAACTCAATTTTTTTTTCTTTTACATTTGAAATTAGAAAAGAAGGAGGAAAAAAAAGTTGCGACGAAAGTTTTCTTCCGCTGTGTGGCGTCCTCTTAAATGTGCTAATGAATGAATGCAAGCGAACCAAGCCAGATACAAAAACATAATTTCCCCTGAAGTCGCGAACCATTAAAATTGAGTTGTAGTTCTAAAAAAAATCAAAAATTATTCAGAGAATGCACTTTTTTCTATTTTTCGCAAAACGCATTTTTTTTTTTNTTTTTTTTTTTTTTTTTTTTTTTTTTTTTTTTTTTTTTTTTTGCAAATTAATATTTAAGTTAGGAAAATAAAAATTAAAACTGTTAAATAATTGACACATTTTAAAGTTATCAAAATCAGGTGACACGTTATCGAAGTCAATCTCATTTAAAGATGGGATGGATAAAAAGCGATGAAACAGTGTGCTTAATTTTAACACTCAAACTCAATTTAGTAATAAAAAAGAAATAAAGTGGAAGGAAACCTTACCCTGGCAATTTATAGAATTGTCAGCTCCTGACCACGTCTGATTGGATTGACATTCATTTATTCCGTCACTATTTCCATTTCGGGATACTAGAGTATATCCTTTAGAGCAGTAGTATCTACCAATATAAATGTTATATATATAAAGAATAATTTTTATCTTAGGATAATTGTTTTTTATTTAGAAATATCGCATTAAATTATACCAAAAGATGTGTCTTGAGGAAGACTTTTGGTTTTTCCCATTAATAGTTTTCTATTTTATATTATTTTATGATTTGTGTTTATATATATATATGTTACGGGCAATGTAATTATTTAGGTCAATATTCATAATGCTTAGTTATTATGAATTATGACCATTAAAATTGGGTAATTTGATAAATTTGAATTACTTTACGATAATTTCTCACATTGCCCGGTCATTATAAATACCGCTATTATTTCTTTGGGCACTTTGTTTAATTGACAGCAATGGGACAACGACGTGCGTGTGGTGTGATTCTGGCTGGCCAATGTTCACCGGTGAATGTTGACAATCAAATTAGTCGCTTTGGTGAATGTCCGAAATATTTATTACATCTAATTTGATACTAATTTATTCGTGGATATAATTACATTTATTCGATATTTTAATACTTACTGACGATAGATNCTAGTATGACTAGACCTTTGGTAAATGTCCGAAATATATGCTAGGTCTAGTGCCACTTTTGCTATAGCTTAAATATTTAAAAAAAGCTTAAAAGCTTAATATATAGCTTAAAAAATTTAAAAAAAGCGTTTGAATCAATTTTAAACTGATATCGAAATTATTGCTTTAAAATTAAAAATAATAATAATAAAAACTGCGCCAGATAAGAGTAATTGAAGTAGTTGCTTTATACAGCGCATGTGCGGGAAAAAATTTAAAAAAAAATTATCCAGGCGCATCTAAAAGTGGATGAATATTCCAAGACACCCTGTGGCTGTGTGTGACACAAATTGCCTACTTGACTTTTAGCATTATGCATAATGACCGGGCAATGTAATAATTGCAACATAATTTATCATTATGTCATATCCTTTTGGGCACTTTTTAAATTGCCCGGGCTTTATAAACAATGTCCAATTATTTACATTGCCCGTGACGTGTGTGTGTGTGTCCTACATCTAATCGCACACACGTAAGCAAAGAAAAAGCCACCCATGGCAGTGAATCACTTTAATCATGAACGCGAAACATCCTAACCCGCTGGATTGCTGGAATAAAAAGCCAACTGCTAGAAAGAGCCCTAAAATACCCCGCTGCTCTTGCCAATGATTCGAACAATTATAATAGCATCTTTGTTTCATTCTCGCTTAAATATTCATTCGCAGCCTCTTGAGCAGTGGCCTAACCGTCGCTTGCGAGCTAGCAGTAGTGTTATGTATTAGGGGGACCGGAAAATAATGTCATTTCGGTGCATTTGCTATATGTAATCAAGATTTTATTTTTAATCAGTAATGTATTCACCCTCGTTAGCAACAACCTTTCAATGAATCGAAAAAAATCAATTGGTTTTTAAGACTAACGAATATTTAATGCTCCGAAACAACATCACTTTCCGGTCCACCTCATATTAAGTAATACAGTGAACTGCTGATAATGACTAAGTTGTAATATGGCCAGCAGTTTAATAATTATTATATTCATGTGTGTATATTATTCATTTTCATTGCTAGGTACTTTATTTAAAACCCCAATTTTATGCCGCTTTAATTTTTAACACTTTCATTCTGACAACAGTTAGCGGATCTGTTTCGTTTCTGATTGGCTGGAAAGCAGCGCTATTGCTAAAATTTGTCTACTGTCTATAGAAAGAAGTCTGAGGCCGTATGCTGCTATGGAAGCAAGAAATAGCGCATTTAAAAGAGGGGACCTTCTTTTTCCCCTTGATTCCCTTTCTCTCTCCGACTCGAGTCAAAACCTGTCTTAAATAATGTCTTGAAATAGTTAAAACTCGTAACCACCATAACCGCCACTACAGTACAAGGGAGTTCTTTACATAGACAAACTATACATGAATAGCCGTTCCCCTCGACTAGAGATGCGGTCAGCAACCAACAAGCGAAGACCATTAACAGCGCAAAAAATGTATACAATCTGATACTAAAATTGTTCAGCAAAATACTATCACTCCAGAAGGGGGAGCTGGTACCATCGGAAACAAACAAGTTCCTCCGCAGACTAAGATATTTTATGATAATTCCACAACGATCCCAGCCACGTCAAAATTATGTATATAACCTTATACCAAGACGTTAGGCTAGATAAAAAAAAATTCTAAATCAGACCTTTTATATTTATTTTTTTCTTCGTTTAATTAAGTTGTTTTAATTGGTTAATTGATTAGTTAATTGATTATAAGATGTTGATTTAGATTTTGCTTATTTAACCATATTACTATTATAAGGCGGTGGCTATACTCTCCAATGCCCATTACCTAACGAAAAGCCCCGCTCCTATGTCCAGTTAAATTTCTTTTCAGCGTTTTTGAAACCATGCCAGTTGTAAATGGTTAAAAAAAGTATCGTTTTGTATTCATGGTTCTATAACCATACTAGTTGCTAAGAGTTTCCGTAAAGGTAAAAAATGTTCTTCACTGTAAGCTTAACAGTGAATCGGATGAACAAACTGATACCGGTTATTTTACCATAGTTTTAGAATGAAAATTCTAACATTGTATGTTGAAAAAAACTTACCTGCACACTGATTTGTATGGCATTTTCGAAAGACTGCATTTGTTCGGATTGACTTTTAAGATCTGGTTGATTTGCAAAGGTTTACAGTATTTGACTATATAAATTAAAAATATATATAAGTTACAAATATAGAGAAAAATGGAAAATAATAAAGATTAATGAAAAGTGAAGAGGAAAAATTAATAGAAAAAGTTTTAAAAATATTTTTAAAAAAACTTAACATATATATTAAAGAGCCGGAAAACAAAGTTAGGAAAATATATAATCTCTTCATCAGCTCACACGATTATATCCGCAAAAACCAGTGCTTTCTAATATTGTATCAATATAGTCAATACAATAGTGCGAGGAGCACTCAAAAAAATTGAAATGAAAATAAAACCTATTATGTAAAAAACAAATACAAAATAAAACATATCAAGCAAAAAACAGAAAATAAAATGTAAAGAAAATACAGAACAAAGCACAAAACGATATCTATAAACCAAGTAGCGAATTCAAATTAATTCATATATATTTATTTATATAAGAATTTTAATGAAAAAAGATAAATTTAGATCGGAATGTATCGTTATTACATTAAAGAAATTGTGTGTGTAAATTTAACTAACTATTGTAAAAACTGATTTGTATTTCTTTAAACTTATTTACATGGAAAAAAGAAGAAAAAAAATGAAAGATTCGTGATGAAACTACATCCATCTTTCTTTTTTAAGAATTGAACATTGTGATCTCCAAATCCATAAACAACTTCCACTCAACCAAATATGGTGAAACCTCTCGGGAGCGACCCCTATGTGTTCCACAGTAAAATGGTTGTTGATGGTGGTGGGTCGTTCTTAGAGATATCCATTGACTTCAAAATTGTTAAGGAAGGTTACATCATTTTTTGCTAACGCTTTTAATATTAGTCAGTGTCATTTCCTTGGTGCGAAAATGTTACTTCTGTCGGCATCATGAGAAGCCAAATCTATGAATAAAAATGATCCCAACTGATATAATTATGTGGTGTAAAAACAAATTTATCAATTATGAAGAATAAAGCTATTTTATTACCACGTTTATATAAACTTGCCTTCGTGTATGTCTGTCCGGGTGGAATTTTGCAATCGATTTTAAACTAACTTCCCGACTAGCTACAAACTTCAAATTTGTCACATAGTTCAGATTGGATGACAATGCATGAAAATGAAGAGAAAAAAGACATACAAAGTAAAATAAAATTAAAATTTTAAAAAAAATGATATTCGAGATTGTCTTTTGTTGTCGATTCCATTATTTCAAATTAGTATTACATGTCAGGTCAAAAGATTTTTACTGTCGGAGTATTTTTATTTTCTGAAAAATCACGTGGTAGGAATAATCTAAATAAAAATATATATTTTTAAAAACCACGTTTTTTGTAGTGAAGAATAATAATTAAAAAGTAATAATTTTTAAAAAATATGAAATAAAAATTCAAAAAATTATAATTTAAAATAAAAAGAATCAAAATAAAAATTAAAAAAAATTTAATTTAAAATAAGAAAAATTCAAAATAAAAAATAATATTTTTAAAAACCACGTTTTTGTGGTGGAGAATAATAATTAAAAAAATTGAAAAACGAAAAACGTGGGGCGAATGAAATACATAACAGTACATATACGCATACATATACACATTTTCTTACTCATACACATGCACAGCCACATATACATCCACATACATATGCATATACACAAACATATTCCACATCCACATTCAGATACAATTACAATTACAGATATACATACACATATTCTCAAGAGCACACATACACACACTAATATAACATTACTGTTATGTATTTCATGCGCCCCACGTTTTTCGTTTTTCAATTTTTTTTAATTATTATTCTCCACTACAAAAACGTGGTTTTTAAAAATATTATTTTTTATTTTGAATTTTTTATATAAATAAACAATTATGTTTTTTTGTTTAAGTTTGCATTTAATGTGATATTATAAAAATGAGTTCGCTTTAAAGGATGGGAAGAGCTGTGTTTTTCTAAAAGAACTTTTTTTTTTTCTAATTTAACTTTCAACTCAAGAAGTAAAAATCATTGATAGCATCGTCTTCACGATCGAGAGAGAAGGCGAAGTTCTTCATTAGTTCTAATGTAAATTTCGCGCTGCGCTTTCGTGATTTACTTATGATATTTACAGTTATGATGATTGATTTTTTTTTATTAAAACTGATTAAAAGAAAAAATAGTTGCGGTGTTTTTTTTTGTATTTTTTTACTTTTTAAAACATTAAAAAATTTATGTTCCCTACCTTCGGGGGCTCCTTTTTTTCAAATGAATAAAATTTTAACGGGCCACAAATATTCTTAATTTGTGGTATATACCTAGGAATTCAAATTCAGTTTCAATGAAATGGACGGCCCAGTACCATGGACCGGTACCGGTCCGCGGACACTGAGCACACCCTTTCTTAACCTGGGTGTCTATTTTAAATCGTGACTGACAGACAATTGACGAACTAAATAAAGTGAATAGTTACCCAAACAGCGAGTTCGAAGTCCACTCCAGGTGCCATTCGAAAAACAAAATCGAAAACGAGATCCGAATAGTTCGTACCCCTCATCACACTCAAATTGACACATTGTTCCATATGAGAAGTTCGAACAATTATGCTTTCCAGAGACTGGGTGTTCTAATGCCGGACATCTCATTTCTAAATAGAAAGTCCATCATTACTTTAAAAAAGAAATACTTACATTGCCTGAAATAATAACAAGCTTTATATTTTGGTTTGATTTCAAATAGGGTCAGTAAAAAAGAAAGCTATTTGTAGCAAGCAAGAGCATTTTTGCAACAGATAATAATTGTCTGATTTTTAGATAAATTAAATAGTGAGATGATTTAGTATTCAGTTTCTAAAAATACCATCAACTCTGTTGGACGCATGAAAATGTGGGTAAAGGTTTGCATAGATATTAAAAAAATAATTTGGTTAAAAAACTGAAATACTAATGAAATAAATTATAGATAATGTAATTGGTAGTAGATAATGTTATTGATTAAAGATAATAACATAGTAATCATGATTAAAGATAATAACATAGTAATCAGTTAGTTTTAATCACAATTGCAGCTATGATAGTTTTAATCACAACTACGCAATTTATGATTACACTATAATGGATTTATATTTATTATCACAATTACAGCTAATCATAATTTATGATTACACTGTAATGAAGTTGATAGTTATTATCACAATTGCAGCTAATCATCATAATTTATGATTACACTGTAATGGATTTTACAATTGATAAAAATTTGCAATTACTAATTCTAATCGCCATTATTACTAATTAAAAAAAATTCTATAATTATGATTACAGGTAATCCCGATTGTTATTACATGTAATCATGATTGTAATTGATGCAATAGTGTAATTGATTCATCCGGATAATTATAGCACACTACCGTAATTACAGGAACTCATGACTAACGGATGAATTAAAACTGTCCCCGCAATAAAAGTGTTTGAAACTTATGACTACTTTAATTGCAATTACAAGTAATTATAATCCACGAATACTCGTAATCAACGAGTAATCATTATTATTTACCAATCTAAAGGAGTTCGAAAGTCTGGGTTTAAGAAATATATTATATTTAGAATATAGATTTTTGTTTGTTTCAGCAGAATATATAGATTTTTGTTTGTTTCTGCGAGGTCATAAATAAGATACTCTTTGAAAGGGGAAATTTGTTAATAAATAACACCCGGCAATTGCTTTATTTTCTAAGGCTATTATTTATTTTTATTTTCCTATTTTCTAAATTCACCAAAACATGACATCTTCCACTAAAATCTTCAAATAATTTATGTTTCCTTTTTATGTCCGTATGCGCGAATATTAAAGCTAAAAAAGTACTCTAAAATTCAAATTGACACCATTTTATCGAAAACCGAACTTTAGAAATTTTTTTATGTTTCCCGGCTGCCTACTTGTAAAAAAAATTTATTCATTTATATACAAGTCTTTTAAATATCCGAATATGTGAGCAGGACTGTGCTCCATGCCTTTGGTCCCATTTAACTTGTACTTTTCTACACTTGTCAAACGACAACAACAACAAATATCCGAATACCTCGTCAAAGCTGCAGAATTAATTAAACTGCAAATATTTATTTTTACAACACTTTTGTTTAAAAAATGTAGGGAAATGTCACGCATCGAAAAAGGATATAAATTCATCCTTCTGTAATTCCGATTTTTTAAAGGATTCTCAATAAAATTTTAAGTGAGGAGTTCGGAGCCGGGATAGCCTGGCTGGTAGGGCATAGGACTCGTATTAGTCAGAACGGGAGTGCGAATCCAGCAGGCTAAAAAATCCCCGTGTATTAAATGGTGCCTGGTTCACGTTAAATTTGTCGGGGTCGCGAAGTCCTCCAAATTCCCATAACAAATGAATACTTCTGGAGAGATCCAGAAGTTCCCTTGTCTTCCGGATTGGTCTCAAAATGACAAGACTATGTAGTGGAACATTAATATACAGTCGTAAACTCACAATTGAGTCAACTGTTCAACGACGATAATAATAATAATAAAGTAAATATTTCAGAACTAAAAAAACAGTCAAATTTAACTATACTTACTTTCACACATGAAATCATTACCACTCCATTTTCCTGTTTCTAAACAAGTCCTGGATTGTAAGGGAAGTTGATCCCAGGGCGGCGAATCGGAATTGTGCGGATAATTACAAGAATAAGGGCAAAATCCTTCTTTGCATTTGACTTTGCACTCTGTTCCATAGACGTTATCGCATTTGTTGGGAATGAAAACTCCTCCTAAAGGAGCTTCAATTTTTGCACACTCCATCGCTGAGGAATGTTAAAAAAAAAACAGCATTTGAGACAAGAAAATATAGTCAAAAGCATAGTCAAAAATAATTCATTCTTCTCAATATTTGTCCATTATAATGCGGGATGACAACGTTTACTAATTTGAAAAGGAAGACATAAGAATTGCATAACTACCTGTAGCCAGAATTATAATCGCACTCCGCCAGGAGCGCTTCATTATTATGAACTGGCTGTTCGTGCAGTGCAACCGATACTTTTATTTATCGAAACAATTTTAACTCTATGTTTCTAGTAAGTATTGTTAAAAATTGCCTTCAAATAAGTCCAGATTTTTGTTTTCCAGATTCCTATTTGTTTCTACCCTCCAACTGCTACGGAATTTCCGTAGTTTCAGAAATCTTCTTTTCAGACGGAATTAATGTCTTAATATTTAAAAAAATTAATTTTAGCGTAACTTGTCCACTATTACGAAAAAAGTGCAGGCCATATGGCTAGATTCTTAAGTTCTGATAAAAGTTTTATGAGAGATCCATTTGCTTTAAAAATTTCTACTTTGGTTCGCTACCACTAGAAAGAATTATTTTCAAAATCCTCATAAGTTGGAGGGTATGTGTTTGTATAGTAGCTTATTGATCTGGCGACAAACTGACAGAACTCGCCAATTTAGTTACCAAATGAGTAAATTACGATAAAAACAAATAAATTTTGAACTATTTGAATGTAATTTTCGACAATAATTATTGTAAAATTTTGATAAATAAATAAATTTACGAGTTTAATGTCGCGTGAAGAGAATTTTTGTATGATACACACAACATATTGAAAAAAAAATTTCTTCAAAAATAAATTTTTTGAAATTTTATTTTTGTACTGATAGAATTACAAAAGAAAATAGTTGTCAAGCCACTTTTTTCGAAAATCATTCATATCGCGACGTGGTTTTTATTCAAATGTACGTCAGTAGTTTATGTGCAACAAAGATCAAAACAATTTTAATTTATAAACTCAAATCTTGAGTTTATAAATGAAATCTATAAACGCAAAATTTAAGTATCGGAAAAATGCTAAACTTTTACTACAACTTTAAAAATAAAAAAATAAAATCTTAAAGTAATTTGACGATATAAAGAACCATATAAAGCTAAGAACAGGTATCGGATAAAATTCGTATTAAGAGTTCTGGGTCACCATTTACGATCTATTTGTACGACAAAGGTTTTACAACACGTCATCCTATATTGTAATGAGTGAGATTTCGCAAATTTACGTTGGCTTTCGTATACTCCCGTACGTAAAATTTCAAGGAATTGCGCATGCGCACGATTAGTGCGCCCAATGAAAAAATATCAAATATATAAACTTACGTTAAGTGAAAATAAGATATTTTTCAAAAATTCGTAAGTTAAAAACGCTTACGTAGTGGTTAGACGCTTACGTAGTGGTAAACGCTTTCGTAGTGGTTCGTCAATAGAAGTTAAATAATAAATAAAAATATATTATTTAACTTCTATTGGTTAATTAATTTCTTTTAACTAAATTGTACAGTTAAAATAAATGTAATTTATAATTTTAAGATAGTGAATATATGTTTAGTTTCTTACGAAACTACTGCAATTAGACAAGCAACCATAATATTAAATAAAAACCAATAAAATTATTTCTTATTCAATGAACCAGTTGTTGTAAGATAGCATGATTCATTTCTTAATGTCATCAATACATTTCTTCAAAACCGCATCCCATGTCCAAGTTTTTAGATCGAAGGAAAACAACATTTAACAGCTATAAACTGCGTGCTTGTAGCTTTGTCTTTATGGCGTTAATCACGCCATAACGTAAAGATACATAACGTAAAGATATACGCAGCATCTAAAATAAACGCGAGAGTTGCTTCAATCTTAAATACGGTAGCGTACGGAAGCTTAACGTAAAAGTGCGAAATCTCCCTATTGTGCTGTTTACAATATGACTTCTATCATTTAATTAGTAAACAATCCATTTAACTTTAGTTGGGAACATGGCAACCTTTATACTTAATTAATATCGTAGTATCAAAATTCCTTTAAACCGATATATGACGCACGTCTTTTTAGAATTTATAAAATACAGAAAAATGAATGGAAAAATTACGTTATTTACAATTAAAATTTCAAGAATGTCATGTCTGTTTATACAATGTCTCCTAAAGATAAGAGGGCCATATTAGCCCAGTGGTTAGAGAATCGGATTCCAGTCCGGAAGTTCCTGGGTTCAATCCTCCACTCCGCTAAGACATACCGAGTACATGCAACTTACGTGCTTGTAAAAAGAGAGGGATTGAGAGGCCCGTGATCAGTCCCTGAGCAGGGCCATGATTACATGAATCTGGAGAAAATTTCATTTCCCATCAGATCTGTGTCTAAATTGTGGGAGAGGCCTAACAACTTTGGATCTTCTTCTGGGATATTGTTCATACCGTCTCCAATACCCCATTGTGCAGCTCTAGTGTGACGTAAATAAAGTTCCTACAGGATGGATGCACGAGAAATTTTCAACATTAAGCCAGGATTTTAAGATCCTGTCATTAAAGAGATTTTGCATAGCGTTTGTCAAATGTTAACCGTAACACAAATCTCGTTTGCAATAGTGATTGGTAGAGAAATTTTCTCGCACGCGCTTTGAAGCTCGTGCTTTGCAAAATCTCTCTACTGTTTACACTCATATAATCATTCATGGTTGGTTATTTTCCATATATATATATCATCCTTCTGTAATTCCGNTATATATTTTAAATTCTAAAAGTAAATGCCCAAAAAGAGACAAAAAAAACCTTTTTTCATATGAAATATGAAGAAAAAAAAGATATTCATATTGATGAATGGAATGATTTGAAATAGTAAAAGAGCTACATTTTACCTTTACAGTAGTTACCATGCCATTCGTAACCCTTTTCACATACGCAGTCATTCGAACTTGTACTTCCGCTTCCTATCGTCGTAGAATGAGGTGGGCAGAAAGTACAATTTCTATTTCCAACTTCCTCCTTATAGGTTCCCTTAGGACACACTTTCAAAAAAGAACATCAATTTTAAGAATGTTTAATATACGGCACAAGTTTGTTATAAAACATTCTTATTTTCACTTATTTATTTATGTGAAGAAGAATAATTAAAGAACAATGCAGCTGTTCCCAAAATTTTTTCGGGTTTCGGGACCCTAAATAATCCACCTATTTTCGGCGGAACCCTCAACTTTATAATTATAGTTTAATGAGGTGATAGTGCACGTTATTACCTATAAAAACACTATGTTTAAAATATTGAATGAAGATTTTTCATTGTTTTAACATTAATAAGTATAAATTAGGTTTTATGTCCGACAGATGAATTTGCAGTCCTCGTGTTTTAGTTATGAATTTGTTTTTGATGTATATGTTACCGGCAAAGTATGAAATCCGGCATTGTATAGAATGCCTAAAATTAGCCGCCAAAGTATGAAATGATTTATATTTCACACATTGCCTAGGCATTCTGTAGAATGCCAAATGAGAAACCGGCAAAGTATGAAATAAACGTCCTGATGAGGTTATTATGTAAATGATGTGCATGTTACTGTGACTGACCGAAATCGGTGAATGTTGACAATCACATAGTCGCTTTGGTGAATGTCCGAAATATTTTTTACATCCGATATGATATTAATTTATTCGTGGATATAATTACATTTATTCGATATTTTAATACTTTCTGATGATAGATTAGTGGAAACATCAATGTAGGGTATACCGGGCAATGGCACTTGACCTCAAAAAAACATCAGTGTAGAGTATACCGGGCAAATATATACCGGGCAGTGGCACTTAACTAGACCTAGTACATATTTCGGACATTTTAATCATACTATGTCCAGTTAAGTGCCACTGCGCGGTATACATTTGTCCAATATACCCTACACTGATGTTTTTTTTCAAGGTTCAAAGCCTGGTATACGTTTCACTGCCTGGTATACGTTTGCCCGGTATGCTATAAATCAATGTTTTTTTAAGGTCAAGTTCCACTGCCCATTATGCATTTAATCGGTACTCCTAACACTGATGTTTCTCTTAATCTATCATCAACAGATATTAAAATATTGAATAAATATATTAATAGCAAAGAACAAATTAATATCAAATCGAATATAACAAATAGATCGGACATTCAGCAAAGCGACTATGGGATTGTTGACATTCACCGGTGAAAGTCGACATTCTCTTGATTTCGGTCATTCACGGTAACAGATATACGTAAGCTGAAAATAAATAAAAATAAGCCGAATTATGGTTTCCTTCAAAACGGAAACGAATTGCTATAAACGTTGAAAATATTTATTGGGGAAACATATTTCTTTGAGAAAGAATTTAATCATTTTATTTTGATTTAAAATACTAATGGGATATTTTACAAATGCTTTCTCTTTTCATAATCTATTCAATATAATGAAACAATATATTTTCTTTTAAATTTCTATTTCATAGGCATTTCATTTGAAATAATTTCATAAAGGCAACCGAAATATTAAATAAATTACGAGTTATAGGTTGTATCAAAATATATTTAATAACATTAGTTGAACAGTCGGCCTAATTTTGGGTTTGAGATTACTAATGTTCGACTCAGCATCTTGTGATTTTGAACCTAATCCAGAGGACAAGGAAACTCCTGGTTCAAGCATATAGGGGAAAATTTGTCTTCGTGGAAGACTCTTTGATGGAAGTAATCCGCATTTGCGCTACATGGAGAGAAAAACAGCTAAAACCTTCCACGGTTAACCTGGCGGCAATGAGACTCTAACTCATGATCCGTCTACCACGGAGGAAATTCTTACGTCAGCACTGTAGTCGGTGCGGAATTCGTATCGACCGGCCATCGCTGGGATTCGAACCCGCTTTACCTCATTGGAAGGCTAACGCTCTATCCCCTGAGCCATCACGACTCGTATCTAATTATATTCAGAAGTTTCAAAACTCACCATTGGTCATAAAAAGTAGTCACTCACGGAACCCTAGGGTTCCGTGGAACACCATTTGGGAACCACTGCTACAATATATATGGTACAGGGAAAAAAAACAACTGAATAGTTATTAAATGTGTGATCGAATTTTCAAACACTAAAATGCCATTTTTACTCATTGTTGGATATGTTACACCTGTAGGTCTTAAGCATGTTAATTTATTTGCTCAGACGACATTTTAAGTTTTGAAATCAAGTATTTCACTAACTTTCTCCAAATATTCATAATAACATTTCTCGACTCCCAAATAAAAAGAGCAATCAGAAAAATATGGTTTATTTTCATGGCAGTTAAATTTCAAATACTTTATTGTAGAGTGGATGTAGTTTCTTTGTCGAATCGAAGCATATTATAGCCGTTTCGGATACATTTTAATTTGGAAATGAAAGAGGGATGTTTATCCCACAGAAATAAATAAAATCGCTCAGGAAAAAAATTGCTTTTTATTATGTAAATCTTATTATAATGAACATTGCCACATTACAAAATTATATTTAAAAAAAAGGAAAGTCCCGAAAGGAATTAAGAGAATCATTCTTGTTCTCTCATCATCGAGAAAAACTATTCAGTAGCGCTTGGGCCTAAGTGTCAACTCCCTTGCGCCAAGAATTAAAAAATTAAAAGTAAATGAATTGTTCTCAATGGACAATAAGGAGCGAGTGAAGAGATCCATGTTTGGCGATATATCGAAAGATAACATAGCCAAAAATAAAGCCATCCTCCATTCATCAATATTAAATTTGAAAATAATTTGGCGAAAGATAATCGCTAAAAAGACGATGAGAATTAGTATAACCATGTAACTAAAACATGCTTGTGGTAAGGAATAAAGAGTTGTAAGTAGATTTTGTTTTTGATTGAGTCACGACAGTGAATGAATGGGCTTTACATTTGCATTGAAATCAGAAGTTTGCCGTTGTTAAGAAGAGAATAAAATATTTATGGTCGCGCTCCCGTGCCGCAGGTCCTGGGTTCGATCCTCGGGCCGGGCAAGGTTGACTCAGCCTTTCATCCCTTCAATGAGTCGATAAATGAGTACCAAGCATGCTTGGGAACTAAACACTGGGGGATTTGCGTTCGGTTGACCACCTAACCGAAACATCTGCTCCTGCACCCCAGAGCCCAAGGTCAAGAAAACTGAGATGGGCATAGTAGGCCTTGGCCCTCTATGGGCTGTCACGCCACTGAGTTTAGTTTAGTTTTTATAAAATATAATAAAAATGAAAAAATAACAGGTTTAATTAAAATTCGATTAAGGATAATTTAAAAAAAATAAAAATTTAAGAAATTTTTTTGTGGCATCGCAGTCATTATGTTAGCTTCATTTTTATAACTCGCTTTCGCTCTTTTGTGAATGAATGTAATCCTGTAATGGTCGACAATCAATCGAAATCCTTACCATTTTCCGACTAACCAGACGAGCAAATATTAACTGGATCTGATTACAATGCCAATTCGTGATGTATACAAGCAAATTTGATTGCCATTTTAATACAAATAGGATATATAGCCATTTGAAATCTCTACCATTTTATGACTAGCTAGAGTGCTTTGTGTCTGATAACGTGCAGAGAACTGATGAAGTTGTAGTCGTTTTCTACTCTCTGCAAATATAATTAATCACGATAGTGTGATTAGAGGGAATTTATCAATCAAAATTCATATAATCTTTCTGACTGGCTATAGCACTCAAATCTCAACTGTAGTTCAGTTCCTTCTACACAAGTTTTAATTGTTCTCTGATTGTTGCTAGCAAATATTATTTCCTAACGGAAATGTATCGTCAATAGAAGTTTTGATCTGTTTCGACTCACTAGTGTGTTCAAATTGTAAAAGAGTTCCTGAAAACAATACAAATTAAAATTGTTTATTAAATGTTACGGACAAGCTTTATCTCCATATAGTACTTAAATTAACTGACATAAAACTAAAAAGAAGAAAACTGTGGAATAAATTATAAATTTAAAAAACTACGTTTTTCAGATGTACTAAAACTGAGTCAATAACTCACATTTTTTCAAACCTAAAACGAAACACGTATTGTGCATAAAAGCATAACTTTTGGGCATCACTTCATGATAATGCGTCCCAAGCTTTAGTTGTAGTTGTGACAAAAATGGAATGTCTATTTATTTAAAAACATTTTAAAACTTTTCTTTTTAATGGATTGTCTTACCATGGCAACGTTGTTTATGTCCAGTCCCGTAATATCCGGCTCCGCAATTACACTCATACGATCCTCCCATTGTTCCGCAATAGCATTTCGCATGAGCGTCGCAACAATCCGATTTCAGATCACAAAAGTTATTGCACAAGGAAATATCATCTACGTAATCCCAGCTTGTCTCATTTATGGCTGAAAGAAAATAAACACTATGTTAAGATTTTTGTATATTGGGATGGCAACAGAGTTCTCGTTGCTTTTTTTTATAAAAAGTTTAGAGTATGTGTATGAGTAGAGTACGTTAGACACAAATTTTCGTGCAAAAGTTCGAACTGACCGAACGAGGTGCTTTCTTGGGGTCAACCTATCCATTTTTAAATCTGGCATACCTATCAAGGTACTTCTAGCTATGGCGACCTCTCCTCGCACAGCACAAGTGTCACGAGAAAATTTTGTAGCCTTAGAACTTTGAATCAAAAAAAAAAATTCAAGGAGGTGTAATCTTTCTTTCCAAACAAAAAGTATTAACTATTATTTATCACATTCATAATAACATTGAAGAAAATATGCAAACACTTAACGTGATTGCAAATAAGTAATAGAAATACAAACGCATACAAAAAAAACTTCAGAAATGCAAATGCGTCTTAATATTGAAAATATTTAGTAGTTAAAATCTGTAAATTGAATACCTGCGAAGGGAAATCGAAATTTCAATTTATTACTGTACTTTGAAGTACTTCACATTATTATTAGAGTTTCTACAGTGCGAAAAAAAAATGAATAACTTTTGATCTAATGATCGAATTTAGGGTACTAGGACTCCATCTTAATGCTTCGAGATCCTAAACTTAAATTTTCTAATTAATGAGTGCAGATAACATTTTTCGCTACGAAATCAGACATTAAAAGAAATAGTACGTGGGGTCCCTCCTCGCGGAAGAAGTGAAACGTCGTAATGTGGAAATGAAAATAGGAAGGGGTAGAAATTGATTTATAGTGAAATCATATTGTTTCTTTAAGACAAACTTTATTAACAATGTTTACAATTCACAATTGATCGCATCTTTTAATTATCATTTTCGAGTGGAGAAATATCCAAATGTATAACATTTCCAATGGGATTGTGATAACTAAAGTAAGATACGAAATGTTTGAGTTCTATTTTTTCAATATTTCTTGCAAAAACTGCATCAATGGTAGTTACCCCTTCCTTTCC